TGTGGATCAGTTAATTTTACTGCAACGTTAGGTTTAGGGGAGCAAAACTGTTTACTACTACCCAACAACAGTTAATGGGGCAGAATCTTCCAAAAGCTGCTAATAAGAGTAGTGCAGTCACATATGTGAAAGTTTCTGTATGTGTTTGCTAGCATATGGCATAAAAGCCATAATTTAAATGAATTTAAATGAATTATACTTTGCATCATTATGTCTTGCAGAGTTGTTCTTCTTATAACAAACACACACTCATGGGCATGGCTTAAAAGAAAATGACATTTAACAGCAAACACAATGAACATTAGTGATGAAAAACATATCAGCTGAGTTCTATTAAACACATTCTCCAGGGACTGTACTGAAGTCTGTCCAGATAACAGTTTGAGAACTCTGAACTATAGAATTATGTTTTACAAAGGGGTTGTTTCAAGGTAATTTATAATCTTATCTCATTCTTGTATATCTGGACTATACTTGTACCCAGTATGTGCAGCACTCATTAGCAGTATATCTTTTAGTGTGAGGTTTTGCCAAAACACAATGTTATTATGTGGGAATTCCTATTTTGCAATAGACATTAATTCCCTAATTAATTTATCACAGTCACTAACAACTAAAGCCAAAACCTTTTTTTTTTTTAGTTTTGGATAGAGTGGAGAGGGATTAGAACCTGTCTGTATTTGTCCTGGTGACTGTTATCACTGAGACTAAATGTAAAAGAAAACCCCAAATATTGAGTTGTCAACAGGATTAGAGGGGAAATCTTCCAATGGGAAAACTAGTTTGGGTGACCCTGGTAACAACCAAGGGTATTCTTTCACTTCCTGTTGTGGCTATGGTACAGGAAGTAGGGGAAATCTCTCCAATGGGACACAGATGCCATTTGTTTTCTATGTGCCCTGTTCACACCTTACATATGCAGTGGTGTGCAGAAAAATGCAGCTATATGGACATTGTGTGAACAAGCCTTTAAGGAACAAGACTAGTAGTGCAATGTTCAAGCATTCTGGATAATTAAGTAACTTTATTTAAATATGAATAAAAATGTAACACTTTACAGGTTTTAGCAAACAGCAAGATAAACGTCCAGGTGTGAGTGACATCTAAGGGTATGACACTTTTTGTAGAGAAAAAAAAATTCAGTATAAAAACAAATTTGCCTAAAATGCAAAAAGAGATAAAAGGGTAATAGGCGGTGGTAAAGTTTAAAGTATCTGCAACAAAAACTTTTTTTTTTCTAGTTTTGAAAGAGTAGAGATGGGTTCAGCTCCCTCATGTTTTTCTTCTTATCTGTGTCCCTTTTAGGGGTTACTTCATTGCTTGTCTGAGATACAACAGAAAGTGAGAAGAAATTTCTCTAACAGTTGAAAAATAATCTCTTAGACCAATGCCACCAAAACAAGTTTCCCCACTGGGAGATCTTTCCCCCCTATTCTTGGTTCAGTGATGTATCCAAATTTCAGATTTGTCTCACTTTCAGTTCTGGTTACAATGGCTACAGGACAAATAGAGAGATTGAATCCCCTAGTGGGGGCACAGACAGCAATAAAAACCTGGCAGTGGTTTTATCCCCTCGCCATTTTATCCAAAATGAAATAAATTAAAATGTAGTTTTAGATATACTTTAATCTAGTTTTATATAATCAAGCACAACTACTAGCTTATCATTTTATCAGGACCCTCAAAGATCCAAACATGATTTGAAAATTGACTTTATATTGACAATTAAGATTATTATTTTTTTCTGTACAGCAGGCCACACGAGTAAAGATTTTCTCTGGTCAGCCCCTGCACTGAGTGAGAGAAATCACTTGATTCTTCCATTCATGGATGGAGGAATTGCCACTGCTGGCTATTGTAGTCAAACACGGCTGCCTGAATATCCGAACAGTGAACAGTGACTGCATCTGATAGGATGGAATTGTGCAGTTAACATTGCCAGGCTAAGGCCCTTGCTGGTGACTCAACCGAAACAAACAAACTGACCAACAGAGACATATTCAAGGCAAGCAAAAAGGCCCTTGATCGGAAGATTATAAGTAGCAACCATGCAGAAATAATGCAATAGCTACTGCTACCAGAAGGATGCCTGAAAAGCAAACAGATATTTAAGACAGGAGATATGCAGGTAACCAAAAAAGATCAGAAGGTTGATGGAAGCCACCACACAGATTGAAGCAACCTGACAGAAGGTTGCCAGAAGCGCAAACAGACAAGACAAAAACAAGCCTTACATATAGGAAACATCACAGAGGTTGAACACACCAAAACTGGTCAGGAATCAGATAAATATGTTCCAGCATAAGGCAATGGAACACACCAAATTAAACAGAAACAGGAAGGGTGGAAACACATTATACAGCTAGGAATGGGACAGAGCAGATTAGAGACACTGGGGGTGATTTACTAACCTAAACACACACACACACACCAGGTGTGTGTGATTTTCACACGGCAAAACGTATTTATCAACCAAAAAGTCTCTAAAAGCATATTTCCACTAATGCCATATATGGAAAAATCATGCACATGATGCATATATAATGCTGCTTCACAGTTTAGACAAAAATGGTTAGCTCATGCATTTACATTCCTTGCATTCATCAACGCAAGCAACACAACATAGAGCTAATTTACACAACATCACCTTGCAATTCATGCAGGGCTTTGCACAACACACCTGCTGGGTGTGTACACATTACAAAGGTGTTTAGATTCCACCCATAGATCATGCTGGGAGGGAACACACTGCAGAGGTGTATACACGTTCGTGGTGTGTTTATAAGGTTAGTAAATCAACCCCACTGAGTGATGAGCAAGAACATACAACAGATAGCAAGGGCAAAAGCCAAGAGAAGAGTATGCAGAAGGGATAGCCTACAGGTAGTAGCAGTGCAAAGCATACAACTAACTCATGTTGGTCTGTAGATAGATCCTCACAATGAGAATATGCATCAGGAAGAGACTATATGCTCAATTCACAAACAAAACAAAATGAAAACAATCATTTCTCAGTTCCATAAATTAATGGAATGTGGATACCTTTTACACATGCGTGTTATATTTATCACAAGAAAATTATAGTTTTAAGGTATTTTCTAAGTAAAAGTTAACGCACAAAGGATTATTGCTCCTTAACATACAGCTACTGTAGATTTATGTTTGGTGTCATTGGGATGTTTACTGAGGTGGATGGGAAAATGAAGCCATATAAGCTGGTGATAAAAAATGGTTTGTGTAAATAAATAAAAATGATCAGTGTGACATTCATATGATAAAACAACAATTCCACACCTAAGCAAAGCCTTGGTTTGTGAACCAAGATATTGACCATTATGAGGAGAACATTACCATAAAATGAATAAGGAAGCATTAGTAAATTGATAATATGGGTCATGCTAGTTCAAACATAAAGTGAATGCTAAAATCTATTTGCAGAATTCTAAGTGCTGGAACTAAAATGAGAATTATATTAGTGCTGGAACTGAATTGACTTAGGTCAGAAGGGAAAAGAATCAGAGCTAAGCTAGTATTAAGATATCTTACACCACTGTCCAACCAATATAGTGTACTTAGCTACAATAACAAAGAGGTTGTAGTGAATATTACTGCCAAGTTTATTGCAGATGTTTTCAGATCAAATTTGTTATATGCTTAACATCTGGAATATATCAACTGCTGTAAAAACGGTCATTAAAAGTAGAAAGTCTATAGGATCTGAAGAAGAGGATGAGACAGAAACCTTGCTAGAGACTGTTTAAAAAAAAAAAAAAATAACCACTTGAAGACTGGGATGATTAAAAACTCCCTTCCTGTCCAAGCCATTTTTCAGTATTAAGCTTTGTGGTACTTGACTGACATTTATTAAGTCATGCAACACTGTACTGAAATGATTTTTGCATAATTTTTGGGGTACAGATAGAGCTTTCCTTTGGTGGCATTACTGGGGTTTTTAAATTTTTTTAAATTTATTGCTATATAAAGAAAAAATTACCGACACTTTTGAAACAAAAACTCTGCTTTCCATATGTTATATTATGAAACATTTATAATACCCAGTTTTTTTGGAAATATATAAGGGGATTCTGCGCGACCCCGAAACATCACCACTATGTGATGGTATGCACATGCATCATTAAAGGACGTATTCATCACTCATCCTGGAGTGCCGATGTACTATATTCTTCTGTTCTGATGCGGTGCCATCCATTTGTCACCGCTGCACCCACCATTAGATATTAACTTTACGGCAGGAGTGCGATGGGTTCTGGACTGTCAGGTAAACAGTGCAAATTCGCAAAAAACTACCATACCCAAAATTGGCCATAGGTGACGCTTTAAAAGCTTTTACCGCTCATCAATTTAGCAACAGTGATTGATGGCCCTTGAATTATTGCCCACGCACTGACGTTCCGTTAGCAGTGATATGTAACATGTGTTTGTATGTGTGTGTATATTTTGACACTAAAATATGAGTTAGTTGTTGAATGAACTAAACAATACAAAATATTTCAAGCAATTATAGCATGTTTTTCAGTGGTCAGGACCTATCAAAAGTAGTATAATATATTAAACTCTCCTTTCCTCTTGCTTCCATGGTGCAATAGGTGACATTATCATTCTCCAAAAAGGTTGCGGGGAATGCTGATTACTCCAAATCTCATGCGAAGATGCTGCAGCACAGTGCTGGGAGTGTCTTGCCAGCGAGATTTGGAGTACTCTACATTCCCCAAATCTCATTGAATGGATGAATGACATCGCCCATGCCTAGGTGCCATGGGCAGAAGCCAGAGAAAGCTGAGTATACTATCGAGTTTTTTTCTCTTACAGGCATTATTCAGGTGTGCCCTCTTACGAGGGGGGTGGGGTGGAGAATGTAAACAGTGGACATTGCTTTTCAGGTACAAGGTCCATTTTAATTAAACCCAGCCCTAAGGATTCAACATTTGTGGAGGGGCATATTTGAATGAATTAAATATATAATTAAGACAGTAACCTACCTGCGGTCCTTTGGTACCTTGATCACCCATAAAACCTGGCAGGCCAGGGTCACCTTTTACTCCCTGTAGCAAAATACATATGTTATTTACATATTATTCCTTTTCTTTTAATTATTTCAACAATACATTTGCCTTATACAGTCACTCTAAGCTTTTCGGGATATTTGGGAAATCTCACAATTAAAACACAGTTAAAAAGCACACATATTGATTTTCTAACAGTGTCCTACAGGACCAGAACATGTGTTTGAATTAAACATCTGTTTAGCCTTATGTGACTTCCTGCATGGCACTTATGAGACTTCCTGCATGGAGCAAACTTTCATAGAAGATTTTGGAACCAAAATCTATTAAACATTTATTGCTATATGTCTAACTGTTTTTACACAGTTATCAGCTCTTCATCAGGGACATGCAACCAAGTTTGTGCCTTGCTTTATTTACCTTGACAAATGGCCAACTGAAAGAACTGAAACCATAGTCTAGGCTTACTTTGTTAGCTTGCTTCTCCCATTCCTTCTAAAGAGAGCAAATAAAGACCAACTTGTCTACCTACTCTGCCCATTTTTTTGTACTTTGTAATGTGTTTTTGTGTACAGAAAGATCTTGTGTATAGTTTAGGCATGTTTACATTTGGATATTTTTGGTTTTCACACTGTTAAGAGCTTTGTGGTGAGATACAATATTGAGTTATTAAATATCATTAACCCGTAACACAATGTGCTAGGTCAGCATTTTAGTTAAATTTTTAATATTTTACAATTTATAAATAAATTAAACCTATCCTATGTATTCCCGTCCTTGATTTATGTTAATAAATCAGCCTTTTCAGTTACATTTAATGTACAGGTTTCATCCTACACAGAATGTACAGTACTGGATCAGATTTAGAAGCATACAGAAATTTGAATCGACTTCTTAGTACTATTTTTTGTAGAATGGTTATATTGTTAAAATTAATTTGAATACCGGAAGTCCTGTAGATCCTCGTCTACCAGGAAGATTCTGGAAAAAAATAAGAAATGCATGTAAGTACAAGTTTAAATTTGATAAGTTGTGCATTTGACAAATATGTCAATAAAAAACTCTAAAGAACTATTCATGATGCTTATGTTTGCTAAATGCAAATGTCTCTTGCATAATATTGTTCCTAGACAGTATGAGGTTGGTTAACTAAAGAAGTAAAGCATGTTTATTTTGCAAAGTTAATTTTCAGCTTAGCTTAGTGTATAAGGAGAAATATTTTTAGTAAAATTTATTTTTCAAAGAATGCCCGATCATGTGCACGCAAATGGTAAAAAAATGGAATGATTGAAATGAGCACAGTTTAACTTTATTCTCTAGTGTAAGAGAAAATTGGCTTTTACTCTTTTAGTAAATCAATTCCACTGTGTTGCACCATATTATCCAGTCATACTGTATTGTTGCAACATGGGAGAATTAAAATAGGTTATACAGCAAATTCTGGGTAATTCATTACCCTGTGGTAAAATGAACTATAAGACCTAGTGTGAAGTGCATCAATATATAAACAATACTATTACTTCAAGTAGTTTTTGGACCTTTGTTGTGTCTTGTGCTATAGAATTGTCATGTTGCATTAGAATTTTCCAGATTAATGATTTTTTGTCAATTAAAAACTGCACTTATTGCCTTTGGTGGTCCAGTTCAATGTGTGTATGTATATATATATATATATACATACATACATACATACACATACTCATTTAAAACTAGTAGATGCCTTTCCATGTCTCTAATTTAAGATTATTGTAATATCTAAATAAAGCTGTTATAGTCACTTGTACTTTATTTGTATTACTGCAAGAATTCTAGGATTAAATAGGGTTTACTGGTATAAAGTACAGAGTTGATTTTTTTTACTTCCCACTGGAAAGAGTCACATCCTCTATTTGATCTAATAACCATAAAAAGTAGGGAATTACAAAACTGTCACTGAAACAGAAAATAAAGGGATATACGTTCCAGGGATAACTGTCTAAGAAGAGATTTATCTTGACTTTTAGGATATTTCCTCTGACTTTGTTTTGCATTTTTGAGATAGGAAGTGAAGGGAAATTTCCCCAAAGAGAAACAGAGAAAACAAATGGGAGTTCAAACCCTTTCCCACTATAACAATAGCCAGCTATACTTTTGGATCAACATAACACCAACACAAACAACTAGCTTTTTAAAAATATTTTTGCCTACCTATTTTTTTTCCGTAAGAATTTATGAACCTGTTGTGGCTGAGAATTACATTACCATACAAGCACTGACCATAGTAATGTTACTTGTTTTAGCCCTTATACAGGAACTTCTGGTACAAACCAAAAGTCATAGGTACAATGCAAAAATGATCCAATATCGGCCTGTTGTGAAGTTATTTCAGCCTAAGTTTTAGATCCTATTATAGCGTTATTTTGGATGGAGAAGGATTACTCATATAAAAAAGCATGATAAAACAGTTCTGTAAATGGCAAGAGCTGGGAAAATACTGAGCAAACAATATTTTATTTATGTTCTGGAGACTCATTTTTAGATAATAGAAAAGGTTATATCTTACTCCAGCTCCTCTAACTCCAGGCTGCCCACGAATTCCTGGTTGTCCAGGTTCTCCCTAGAAAAATACAAGAAGAAAATAATTATCATATAATCATGGACAGATCTCTTGGTCAGGAGTCAAGGTGGGCACACATATTGCACTGTACAATTGACTAAGGGGTCTATTCACTAAACTGCTGAGGGCAGCCGAGTGAACAACCAACCCCAAGTGAAGTGAGCCGAACACTGTTCGGCTATTCACTTCAGGCTTGTACGGCAGATTTCATTCGTATATCGGCTGAAATCAGCCGTACATCGGCTTGCTTCAGCTGGCTTCGGGTCGGCCGAACGAACATGCTGAGCATGTTCGGCCAACCCGAAGTGCAGAAGGAGTTCGACTCAGCCGATCCAACATCTGGATCGGCTGAGCCGAACCTCCGGCAGGCTACTCGCTGCTGTTCGGCCTATTCTTATAGATGCTGAACAGCAGTGAGTGAATTACCGAATGCCGCTGAGCGGCATTCGGCTCGGCTGTTTTGCTCGGTAACTCAGAGGGACCGAGCAGAACAGAACAATAGTTAGAAGGTACAAAAAAAGTAAATAGAAAACGATTGTGCCCTCTAAAAAATGATTGAAAACGATTGTAGAAAACGATTGTCCCCTCAGAGGGACCGAGCAGAACAGAACAATAGTTAGAAGGTACAAAAAAAGTAAATAGAAAACGATGCAATGACAGCTAGCTCCGCCCAACAGTTTTCTATTGGCCGGCGGTTCTGCTGCCGTCAGAAAAAAAGAAGAAGAAAAAAAACTCTCCTTGGCGCTATGGGAGTCTCCCGCTCCCGGCCACCCAGGAGAGAAACACTGCTTTTTTCTTCGTGTCAGAATAATGTTTGGCTGGACTGAGCCGCTTGGCTAAGTTCGGGAGCTGTACGGGCTATTGTGAATAGCCCGTACAGCAGCCCTTCGGTTCTACTGAACCGAAGGGGTCCTGGTGCCAAAGCTAGCCGAAGGATCGGCCGAAGCTACGGCTAGATCCTTCGGCTGCTTCGTGAATAGACCCCTAAGTTTACAAAGGCTTAAAACCTGTGCAGGTTCACATAGGATCCAAAGGTGTTGGTTTACTAAAGGCAAATAAGCGGATCACTTTGCAAAGGAATTTGCACTTTGCAGGGGCAGTTTCCCCTTATTTCAGTGAATGAGGTGAAGCTCTGCTGACTTCCATCATCCAATCATGTGCAAGCAAAAAAACTTTTTTTTTTTAAAATGTTCCTTGCAAGTGACTAGGTATTCTTTGCAAAGTGAAATTTCACCACATTCAGCAGGCTAATGGAAACTTCCCCTGCAAAGTGCACAGTTTATTCAACTTTAGTAAATCACCCCCACCATGTTTTTAACATTTGGTTGAAGATGTACAGTATGAAACAACCTTACAATATATTATTTCATTCAATTTGGTTACAATTGCATTGGAAGATATTTTTGTTTTTGTACCATTCAGTTAGTGATATACATAGGTTTGGTTGACCTTTGTCAGCTTGTAAACACACTGAAATATAAACAGGTTATTAGCAACACTAAGGGGGGGGGGGGTGTTTATCAATGTTTTCACCCACGATTCACACATTTCCACATTAAAATTGCATTAGAGACATGTGTGAATATTGGATGAAAAACATTGATAACTAGACCTCTAAATGTGGAAGTCAGCCACATTTAAAGTGACATTTAAGTCACCAATATCTTCCACCCCCCATGCTGCTTTAACCCCTTCATGACTGAGCTTGTTTTTAGTTTCTGTTCGTAAATGACTGAAACACTTTTGAAATTTTTGCTGTGTGATTCTTCCACGGCAGTAATATACTTTCTTACCAAGTGTACCCACACATATTATATATTGTTTTTTAGAGGACAGATAGGGCTATATATTTATATCCCATATGTGTACCTAATGCCTCACTTAGGACAAATAAAATATAAAAAAGAGGAAAAAATTTAAAGAAACCAAGCGCTGTTGTTTTGTTTTGTTTATTTTGACATGTTTTATTCGGTTTCATTACCTCTGAGGTAACGAAGCAGAATGGTAGAACTGAATGAAGAGCCGACCATATGGCAATTCACTCTTTGCTGTTCAGCCCCTTGGGGTGAACCGCAGGGAATAAAGTGCTGATGGTTAGCCAGATGTTGCATTAGCTGAGGTGAATAGGCTCTTCCCTTTGGTTCAGGCAAACATGCGGAGGCTGTTTAGCCGAGCTGAAGGGGAGTGAATGCAGCTGATGTACGGCTAAGAATAGCTTTACACGGCTGCAGTGAATAGCCGAACACGCTTCGGCCAACTTTCATGTCGGCTTGGTTATTTAATCGGCTGCTTTCAGGAGCTTAGTGAATAACCCACACCTGTTTGTCTATGGTCAGCTGTACTGTAGCTCTTCAATGACTATGTGACCTAAGGTGAAGTAATGCGCTGTGCTCCATACCTCAGCAACAGACTAATAGAAAAATCACTTGACAAGGACCCAATTGCAAAAATATGAACTGAAAGTAATATTACTGAAATTACTTAATATTACTTATTACTTTAAATGCTCAATAATTACCTCAATTCCAGGATCTCCTTTATATCCTTTAAGTCCAGGAATGGTGTCTGGAGTACCAGGCTCTCCCTGTAAGTAACCAAATTCCAAATAAGAATAAGAAAATGTAGTTAATGCATATGCAACACAACTGAATTTTTCCAAATCAGCTACGTTGTCCTAGATTGTTCACTTCTTCTGCCATCCTCAAACTCTTCACTCTTTTGTAAATAGCCCGGTTAATTTGCTGTTTAGTCAACTCTGAATTGGTAGATGTATACATTTTACAACGTTATTGCTCACCAATGTATTAAGGTTACAGTTGAAATGCAAATTAAAACATCATAGTAAATATCTATTATAATCCAATAAATCCCATGCTATGTGTAATAAAAAACGACATTAAAAAAACATAAAATTCATAACTTTAAATTCATTTTCTTACCAAGTAACCTCTGAAACCTTGGTCTCCTTTATGTCCTGGAGGTCCTTTTGTCCCAGGACTTCCCTGTTAAAGTAACAAGTTAATGTTATTGCATATAGCAGATAGCATATAGTAGATTGAAAAGCCAAATAAACACAAGTGCCTTTAATCTCAATGTCTGAGAAGAACAGAATTCTAGCTCCAGCACTTCCATTGTAAGTAGAATCAGATGGCCTTACTGACTGTATTAAAAAATATTTGTCAGCTTGTAAAACTTGAAAAATACATTTCTCAGCACTGAAAGGGTCAATGTCAATGCGTAAAAATGAACGCAGCATTAAAAGGTTGTAGAGTATAGTGACCCTGTCAGGTTCGAAATAAGACTGAAGTAAGCTTCCCTGCAATAGAACTTGAATAGAATTGAACTGCATTTCTACTCACCTTTACGGCAGGTCATGTCTCTTACTTTTGCTCTGTTTCAGTGGTGCAGCCTTCATAATTCTGTTTGGCATCAAACATCTTTGGTGTTTTGGATGCCTATGTTCTTCACATACGCCATGGTTTCTATCTCCAACCTCTACGCCACCGCAGAGTCCTGCAGTGACATGGGAGCTTGAGAATGGAACCATGGTATGTGGTGGGGGACACAGGCATCCCAAACTCCCTGAAGTGTCAAACGACAAAAAGGCTTATGGGGGCTGTAGTGGTGTAATGGAGAGACGGTATGGGATACGCATATTTGTTTAAATATGCCTTTATGAAAAACTTACATCTTATATATGTTTTGCTTTAATGATTTAGAAACAAATTGTACAATGTTTTGATAATATTGCAGTTAGATACACTGCTTTAAGTGCTTTAGTGTTAAATTGTACGAAATGTACCAGCCAACCCCTAGAACCCTCATGTAAGGGGCGTGCCTCATGACTCCGCCCCATCTCGTTCGAGCAGTCGGCTTAAAGCTGCTGCTCACGAATTGTTCAGCGTCCACTGTTGGTTGTAGCAGGACTCTGATCAATCAGTTGTCCTCCCTTGCCTCCAAGCCGGACCTACTACCTCAGGACACAGCACCTCCGTATGAGTCTCCCTGCTAAGATAGAGACTCCACAAAACCGCAAGTACATGGACTAGTACCCACGTGAGATCTGGGAACTAATGCAGGTCTACTCCATTGATTGTGCTTACTGTTGCTAATATCCATTAACCCTGCTTGATATTAGCTGTGTGCTGAACTTCATGGACTTTGCATGTTAACCACTGATGGTGCCAATAGCCATTAACCCTGCTTGATATTAGTGAATAGTGGTACCTGTGATCTGAGGAGACCTTATCGCCTTTTCTGTGCATGGGCTTCCCTCCCCCATTAAGAAGGGAAATAGCGCATTTGACCTAGCTCTGTAGGTCTACCTCCCCAGGTGAGCACTCACTTGTTGTCATCACTCACTGGGTGGAGGTGAAGGTCTGCCTGCATTGTGTGATTATCCTTACCTGAGAGTTATATGCAGATTGGCTGCGAATCATCTGAAGGATTTTTTTTGCACAATCACCATTGTTTGCTTTTGTTTTTTCCTTGAGACTTTTTATTGTCTATATTGCTTTTTTGTCTTTGTGTAGATATTTTCTATGCCTCATTTGTTTGAAGGCTCATATATGTGACTCACTTATATATGTTTCAATTTATTAGATATGTATGATTATTAGCTCGGCACAATATTGTTTTCCACATTTTTCAGATATTTAGTTATATCCTTAGTGCTTGGTAGCTCTTATTTCCACATTACACTTACTGGCGCTGATCACCTTTATTGTTTATTTTTAGCCTGCTTGATATTAGCTGTTGTGCTGAACTTAATGGACTTTGCATGTTACTCACTGCGGGTGCTAATTGCCATTAACCCAGCTTAATAGGTGTGATGCGGAAGGTCAGTAACACTGACTAGCTTTCTAAATTAGCTTCCGTCTCTACCGACTTGGGACTGGATGCTCCAGTCATTACCATAGCCTCTTCGATAACCTCCTAGTTGCCTGGGTTTCCCATATCTACATACGGGGTTTGATGTGAAGCAGCTCCCTCTCAGCCTACACAAATACAGGGCACCAAAGGCCCAACTGCAGATCTGATCCCCATCCTTCCACCTGGAAGGTATACTCTGCAGTTGAGATCCATATACATACCCCTATAGCAAGGCGTTACACCTCATTCAACAAGCACAATGATTTAGCTATCTAGCAATATTACATAAGTACATACACCAAACATTCAGATTGTATAATTTTCTCAGCCAGTAATCCAATAAAGGGGTTTGCTATATTCTGCCTCACTACCTGTAATAGAGTTCAGCTGTCTGTCTCCAGTAGGTGTGTTCTATTCTTTGAATTTGTGTTCTTCGACAGACTCTATCCTGACTTTGCTACTGTCTATTGGCCACTCCAGGGTATCATGTTTAGCATTTGTTGCTTCTGTTTGTAGCCTGGTTCTGTATGCGTGGATATTATAGTTCAGTGTTTAAGACCTGGGGACAACAAAATACCAACAGCCAGTGCCAGTCTTTAGCAGAAGGTGGCTGCTAAAAGCAAAGAATTTACTAGGGTGCCTATAATATTTGAGCCTGCGTTGGGTGTTATATACATATAATAAGATACACAGATTAATGAGTCTCTTAATGAGTCTATCAGATATGACCTTTCAACACTTCTGTCATCTCCATCCTAATATGTCTGATGTGTAGTTTACTGTACTGTCTGATGTGTAGAATACTGAAACATGTTACCGCTTCTCCTCCTTCACCCTTCTCTCCTTTGCTTCCTGGTCGTCCAGAGATTCCCTAAAGTAGATAAAATGAAGAACGGTAGTAACATTAGCCATGGATGAGAAGACATTTCACTGAGAACAGGTTGTGAGACATTTGTCCATCCATGATCACTTGTCTATACTGACATAACCGACCACACAAATCTCTTATTTTATATTTAGCAAATTATAAAAATTGGAACTATAAGCTCCTGCTGGCACAGATTTTCCACCAGGTTGAACAATCTGTGTATATGCAATTATAAATGCTATAAATACATAAAAGTCTGTTCTCATCGCCTTTAATATACCTGCTCTCCAGGGATTCCATCAAGACCAGTCTCTCCTTCTTCATTCTGAAAATCACAAAATACAAACAGCAAAGTCATCTCTATGTTGTGTACTCTTTGGAAGTATTTGAAATAATTATCACAAAAAAAACAACAATTTGTTGGCTTTTTGGTTTAAGGTAGTGGCAACTGGGCCTGGCATCAATGAATGCTAATGCTTATGTTTTAACTTGTGTTTGCATCTAACTTTAAAAATGTTAAAACAAACATGTGCTTTCTCCATTCATAGCAAAGCAACAGGTTTGCTTTGATTCCCCCTACCCGGCAAATCTTTCCTTCGCCCCTTGCTGCCCTGTGGCTGGAGCCAAAGGAAATACCTGGTACTTCTGGGTATGGAGTAACATGTGCCTATCTTCATGTAATATTGCTGAGCCATATAGTAGTTTTCATTTATACTGGCTGCCATTCACTTTTACTCTGGCAGCTGAATAGTGGGGGAGACTAAAACATAGGGAAGTATGTGCTGCTGGGGAGGGAAGTTAAAAAAGGGCAGATATTTTGGTTTCTTCCTCATGCATTTTGTACAGGACAAAAAACTGACATAAAGCTATATTATACTCTGAGCATTGGCAATGTTTGTAATGAGGGGTTTAGAGCATGTTGAGAGCAATGCCATTAAATGTAAGTAGTAAATGTTTCAGAAACCTTCATTTTTCTAATGCATAATGCTTTGGAATTGAATAAACTGTATGTAGAGCAATACAATGTATTATCTACAAGCATTTTTCCCAGTGCTTGAAAATGTAGCAAATTACTTTGAAACCTGTAGCATAAAGAGGGTACCAGTAATACACGTGATATGAAAGGTGTGTAATTCAATCTGTAAAACTTTGTCTTTTATATACTTATAGCTCTAAATCTCCAGATACAAACAACAGGTATTACATCTGGCAATGTTTCCCAATAATATTTTAAAAAATAAGCTTCTTAAAAAATAAAAAGATATATACAACCTCAATTCCAAAACAGTTAGGACACTTTGGGGTCTATTCACGAAGCTGCCGAGGGCAGCCGAGTATTGATCCCGCTGTGTGTTGTAAAGGAGCCACCACTTCAAGCTCGCTCCCATGATAGAATTAAATCTCAATACAAATTAGTAAACTAAACATGACATTGTGGTCCATCACGGGAGTAAGCTTGGAGTGGTGGCTGCTTTACAACACACACAGGGACCATGGGGAACAAAAGTAGCCACCCTCCAGAAAGAAGGACAGTGTCAGCACCAATTCAGAGATGATTTGAGAATCTACAGCTGAGTGATACGCAAATAAGATACACTTTTGTTAATAGTTGGGGTACTTGAATGGGGTACTTGAATGCGTTTTTAAGATTCAACTCCTGACTTTACTGTCACTTTAAAGCAGCTTGGTGCAGCTCAAAAGCAGCTCAGTGCAATTGAAAAGTATGTTCAAGCAACTCTTTGAGCAACCTAAAGACAAACCAAAGCAAAAGCATCTCAGAGGCTCCTGAAAGCATACTTCATTTAAGTCTAAAGCCTATCTACATAGACATATGAGAGAAACTATATAAGACAGTTTGCCTAGGGTGGCGAAAAATACAAATCCGGCTCTGCCCATGAACTGCTTGAGAGAATAAGCAGCCAGTAGGCAATATAGCCTACCCAGGTTTACTCAAAATCAAATATCATTTTGGAGTAAACCGAATCTTTTTATTTGTCTTTCTATATCCACACAGTCATGGGTACACTTAAACAAACAAATAGAAATATTTTAACTATAGCTATTTACAATTTATCATAATCTAATAGCAGTTCATTGAAATGCAGTTCACTAAGTTTAATCTCTGCTGAGACTGTAATTATTATTACTGTTCTGGCAATACAAATAACACATCTTCCACTTACTGCCAGAACTCTGTTTCAAAATGAATAATTTGACTGTTAAACAAATGGGGTCATATGCTGTTAACTAATGTGTCCATATATCCAAGCAAATTTTCCCCCTTAAAAATGAAAGATTTTATAATTAACCATTCTTCAGTTACTGGTTGCACATATTAGGAATGGTTTATGGAAATAGTCAAATGTTTACTTAGACCAGTGTCCACTTTAATCATTCCGTCATGAGCTCAAATTACAGCCACCCACATAGCTGAATAAATGAAAGCAGTGACTCATCCTGCTTTACAACCCCCTCCCAAGGCCATGTGTATAAAATTAGATATGAAATATTTAATTGTAAAATAAAATGTTTACATAAACTGTAAGACCATTTTAAATAGTTTAAAACATTTTTTAAAACAAAAAAATTGAACAAATAAATATAGATTTTGATTTCTTGGTCTTTGATCAAATGTAATAAAGACACATCAGCATAGCTGCCAAGTTAAAGGTTTGTCAGGTTAAAATGTTAAAGGAAAATATATACCTTTTCTCCTGGCAGTCCTCTGTTTCCCTGGAAAAAAAAGAACAAATAGTTACTCACAAAAATACATTTATCAGCATAAAAAAGTGTTGATAAAGGACTAATTCATTATTAGGTTACAGTAAAAGGCATTCAAGCTAATTTGGTGAGGTGGCGCAAAGGGCAAAAACCCAGTACAGTGTAAACGTCTATAACAATCAATCAGCTTTTAGTTTTGTAAAGCCAGAGACATCAAAAGATTAATTTTGATTGCCTTGGGCCACTTCACCTAAAATGTTGCTGTCTGATTAACATTTTTATTAAATGTCACCTTAAGCAAGGGATCATGTGTGGCTCTGAAATGCTGGCTTATTTGAATGTGACACATTATTAATAAATAAAAGTACTTTTGTGACTCTAAGAGTGCTGGTGGCTTCTTTGCTCTGTATTTAAATGTAGACAGTCAGAGTTGCTATACCACATTTAATTAAAGCATTGCTCTTCAGAGATAATAGCTAGAGATGAGCCAAGTCTGGTCCAATATAAACATGTACTTTTTATCGAACATACACATTGTTAAAGCAATTCTATAATTTGCCTAGAAAAAAACAAAGTTATCTGCAATAGAAGAGATATTTTACTCTCCTCTCCCATGCCCAATCCTCCTACCTTCCTTACATTCCTGAGCTGCAACTTCTGATAGACTCTTCAGCATATGACACTTTTGTACCTTGCCACCTGCTGTGGTTCCATTTTCTGCTGTGTACTCCAGTGGTGCAGGAGTCAGAGATAGAAACCACAGTGTGTGGTGGGGGACACAGGCATCTGACATTTCTGAAAGTGTCAAAAGCTGAAGAGTCTGACAGGAGCCGCAGGTGCGGAGGACATGGTAGGAGACATGGATGGCCAAAGAGTATAGAACATCTTCTGTTGCAGAGAGATTGCATTTTGATTTTTGGCATCTGACATTGTCAAGCCCAACTCTGGGCACAAGAGAAAAATGCTGTGGGGCTCCCCTGGCACTTCATGGGTTTACAGTTTGCTAGGTCTAGGGTGCAGGGATAAGGGGTAATACTTGCCTTACTCTCCACTCTGGCAGGCTCTCTTCACCTGTGCAACCAGTCTTATGAAGCCTTCACAGTAAGGCACTCCTGGCTCTTAATAGCCCTGCATTGTGATGATGATGCAGAGAGCTCATCCACAGCCTGGAGCTTCATGGAGAAGAGGAGAAAGGGTAAAATCTCCTCTTGTACTCCCTAGACCTAACAAGCATTTAACCCCTGCAGTGTATGGGGGGCTCTGCAAGGTTTATTTGTCCTGTGACAAGAGTTGGGTTTTAATGTACACGATACATGATATCATATTTATACTGCTGTTTGATGAGTCAGATTGTTTTGTCGTATATTGCCATTATGTACCCAAGGCTTTTAGGTAACTGTTTAGTAGTCAGATTGGTTTATAAACAAATCAATAGTGATCCAAAAAAGGACAAGACTTGAGACATACCTTAAGACCTCTGGTTCCTGCGCATCCTTTTTCACCAGGTTCACCTATAGGACCAGGGGTTCCTCTTTCACCCTTAATAAAAAAACAAACATTATACATTAAATTACTTCCCATTCTACAAATACTGCATTAGTAATACTGACACATGCTTGAGGGTATCAGACTCACACTGTATCAATATGAGCGTCTTTTTACTCTGAAAATGTGCTCTGTGTAAGTATTAAAGTGGGCCTAATTTGAGCTCATCTACTTTACCTGATGAAATTCCGGTATTTTTATGTGTTTTCCATACATAATCCACCAGGACCCTGTATTTATGGTGCAGGAAGAGCTGGTCTTTGACATAAATACTCCTAGTGTAGGGGACATAAGTATTCAAGCAAGCAAAGGCATTTTATGTGCTTTCCTTCTAAGCAAATGAATATTTTGATTATGGTGACATATTTATTACTGGACTCGATGTATGAAATATTCAGTCTTAGCCAACTTTTGTTGTTAATTTGTACCATATGCACTGACCAGAAACTGAACAAGAACAATGTCAAAATTATTAAGCGTCATAGTACTACTAATGTACTACACTGTGTTTTCCTAGATAACAAGAGACTTAAAGTGATATTAAAGTCAAAACATCTCCAAGCTATTTTAAATTCTGGTTAAATCACTTACAATGGATGCTGCTCCTTGATGTTAAACAGTTTTAGTTTCCTGCAGAATCAGCTGGTCCTCTGAGCACTGGCCCTGATATCCTGTTTTAGAGTGACTACTTTCCTTTGCAGGGTCCTAAGGAACGACCCTTGTGTGTGCTAGAAAGCTATGTGTGTCTCCACAAACACACAGGTACAGCAAAGGGAAAGCCAGTCATCTGCTCCTCCTTCCTTCTCTAAGCTAGTAGATGGATATTTGCTAAAGATTGTGCTGTCCCTTATGATCCTGTACTGGATAGGAAGTTCAGGAAAGCTGAGCTGAGAGCGTTGGAACCAGCTCCTTGGAAACATGATGACTGGAAGTGATTTGATAAAAATATAAAGAAATACTTTGAGGGCAATGTATATTTGTTTGATATTGATTCATTATCGGAAAAAGCTAGAATGTTTAATACTACTTTAAAATAGAAGAGATACCTACATCATCGCCCTCTTCCCCAGAATGTCCTTGGACTCCTTGTTTCCCAGGTGACCCCTGAAAGAAAAACAAAAGTTTTAATTTTGTTGATAAAGGTATTACTTCATAAGACACATTATCCTGCAAAGACAAACCTTTTAAAGATAAAATTAATAGTTATAAAGTAATTTGTGCAATCAAAGTTTATGTATATATATATATATACACACTATAGAGTAGGGAAGTGTTAAACACACTTCAGGTTATTTTAACCCTGAAATAACCTTTCTGTGCCCTGCTGGGGAGATTTCTCTTTACTTCCTATCTTGGAGATGCAACAGGAAATTAATGGACATCTCCCTAGTGTGAGGGGAATTCCTGTCTTAGACAGTTGTCACTAGAACATTTGGTTGTGCTCCACAAATTTTTATGCTTGGTGACCACCTAAAAAACAGCCTGCATCCCTGTCTGGCAAAAATGGAATTCGGTTGCAAAATTTGATTGGTTAGGCAATGACAATATGACGGCCTCTGATGCTGGTACCAAGGTGCATGCATGTTCACAAAACAATGCTTACACAATTTGATTTATTTACAGTAAAGGACTTGTGGATAGCTATCAGGCAGCATAATTCTTGACACTGCACCATTGTGAGTGCTCCCAGCTTGGTGGTAAGCCTAGCGTAATGTATGTAAACTCAATGGGGCTACTTTACAATAATACCTTTCTGAGAAAATGTTCAAGTCTCACAAAGTATTAGGATAATATTTTTAAAAGAAAATAATTTCTTGTTATGGGCAACACAGTGTTTTCTTCTAGATACTATTTTTTTTCCCTAAGGGCAGGTAGTCTTTTCACTGCTGTTGAATTATTAATATTGATGTAGTGGTGTCTACCAACATCTAGGGGCAGCATAGTGCCACAACAACTTGTTATTGTTCCTTTGATATGTCCCTCTGTTATCTCCTCCTATTTTGTGCTAGCAAGTACAGCCTTAGCAAGTCCCTTCTTTTTTTTTTCTTCTGTTCCTCTCAGTTCATCGCAGAGACAGAGATTAGGAAATTAATTGATTTACTAAAGGCAAAAGGGCTTACTCAGTAAGCTAAGGGAAAATTCCCTTGCAAAGGGAACAGCCTTTTTGCCTTTAAAAAAATCAATCCCATTATCTTCTTACGCTTAAAAGACTGGAAAAACATCCTCTGTATTGCACTTATCTGAAGTACAATTACATTGGATTCCACTTCTGTGTCTTATTGAAAAGTTAAGCTGCCCATGGAATCTGCAGGGTCAGCAAGTGGCCATACTGTCTGCACAGACTAAGTCTAAGGAGGTCCAGGACATGGAGCCACATTTTTTTTATTAACTTGGAATCACAAATAACTGAAAACATGTTGAAATAACTACTGCTGTCACCTATGAAATATCTTTTAACTGAAGCATTCAGGATTAGAACCAAGGTTAAAACCCTGCCAGGACCTACCAGGCAGTGTACATGAGTTTGTATTTGTGTTTAATCATAGACATTTTTTTTTTACAGTTTTTGATTAATGACAAGTTAAAAGGGGTATGTCATAGTCCTAAAAAATCTGAGAAAACCCTGGGCACCTAGACTGAATTTTTGTGGAGCTATGTATTGTCTACTTTTATCTCTTCTCTCTCCTTTCTATTTGCTGTCATCTTACCTTTGGTCCTCTTTTTTTCTTTTCTGCTGCACTACCTTAGAACTGAGTTGTGAGTACTCTGGTTCTTTGATAAAAGTGAAAGAAAGCATTGGCACTCAAAAATGCCTTTCAAGTTAGGAGATACTGTAACCGCTGTATTAATAGGTTACATACAATTATAATTTGCATTGTGTAATTACTGCAATTTTAGAATTCCACAATTATAGTTTGAAAATATAAGACTTAATTTACTGAAGGCATAAAGACTGTTCACACTTTTGTAAAGTGTATTTTCATATTGCAAAGTGAATGTTTGCTTAGCTTATCTAAGGATACAGTAAAGCTGTATCCATTTCAATTATCCAGTCATGGACAAGCAAATATCTTGTTTTTTTTTTTAAATTTACCAATGCCCATGGGCAGTCAAAGTGAATTCATCTTGACTTTATTTATAATTAACTAATATTAATACCCTACTCCTTTAGTAAACCATCTCAATGTGTAAATACATATATAAATGTTTTTTTTTATTTTCAGTAATTAATGTCTTCCCAGCGATATTAATCATAATTTGAAAACATTAAAATGAAATGCACTACCGGTTTTCCACGTGATCCATATGTTCCAGGACTACCCCTTTCTCCAACGCACTTACAAAACACACAGCAACATGTCTTCTCAGCAACATGGGACTGCAAACAGAAAATGTATAATTAAGAAGTCATATCCATAATTTGTATTAGTTTTGTAGAGCTTATAATTGAGATTCCTTTTAATATCGGTACTACCATAGACTCTCTCTGGAGCTGTTAAGGCTGCAGTATGAAAAAAAAATAATTAAAGCTAACAATCTGCAAGTTTGTAGATAAAGGAAGCAAAAAATAAAAAATATTTTAAAAAATGCATTGCGCTCTTAATAAAACTAGAAATGAAAACTAAATACAATCACATTAGCATAGTGTAAACCATATATCTGCTATGGTAGCTGTTCACTAGGATATATGATTTTCACTATGCTAATGTGATTGTATTTAGTTTTCACTTCTAGTTTTATTAAGAGTGCAATGCATTTTGTATATATTCAGTTTAGAGTGTTTTTCACTTTGGTACAGCTGCTAAGGGATAGTTTTAGGACAGTGAGAAGAGGAGCACAGATATCTTTTTATTTTTGTTTGCAACTAATTAAAAATGTAGGGACACAAATATGTACTATTTTGCTATATTAAAAAATTATTCAAATTAAAAGTGTAAACTGATGACAGGGTCTCTTTAAGACATCTTCATCTCACTTCCCCTTTACCTTATTTAAAGGGAAAATTAACAAAAGGAAAACAACAGTGTTAGAAGGCATAGATGGAAGCAAAGGTTTTCTGATTTGTTTTGCCGCAAATTAGTTTTGGGCAGTGAAATTGAACCTGCTAATTGAGTCACTGCTCTGGACCTTGTATGAGGTTCAGAAATTGGCTACTACCTTTGGAGATTTTTTAAAATGGTATTTTGCTTGTGGCAGAGCCACTTGAAATAAACTATATGTTTTAGAATCCAAGAAGTCACTGTGCATGGCATTCTATGAGCTAACCAAATACCTCAGCTCTGTTGGATGAACCAGTAAAAACAATAAAATAATAAAATCCAATTTGTTTTGTTAGGAAGCAGGTCTAAAGGAACCTAGCCACTAAAGAGAAAGTTTGACTTTCTGTCACACAAACAGAATATCTGCTATTACTACTCTGTCCATGAAAGAGGCCCAGTTCTCCTACTAAGTTGAATGAATAGTAGTCTACCACTTCATAAAATAATTTATAATCCCAGAGGACACTCAGAGGACAAAATCTGGGTTGTATGAATGGCCTCCCCTCTATACTGGGTTGTATGAATGGCCTTCCCTCTAACTTTGGTGATATGGACACTGGTGATTCCCATTAAATATGCCTTATGATACTAAGAGGCTGATTTTCTAAAGAGGTTTAGAATCTTCACTGAAATGTTTTTGTGAATATTTACTTTAATTTTCCAATTATGTGAAAAGCACATTCCTGTTCACTTTGAATACCCAATCGTGTGCTGTTTTTTTTTAAATGACGGGATAATTAAAGTAAATATTCACACAATATTCACATAAGATTCTCAACTTCTGGCTGAATCAGCCTCAAAGCTGGCACTTACATTTTATGACTTATGATGCTAATGACCTTAAGGTTCTGCTTTCTTACATTTATATATAACCCAAGTAAGGAAAACAAGGCTCTAGCTTGGGAGGGGGGGTTCTTATTGGTTGTATAATCATAACTATAAAACACACTTTTTACATTTTTGCTGAGTGATTCTTCCACAGCAGTAATATACTTTCTTACTAAATGTACCCACACATATTATATATAGGTTTTTAGAGGACAGATAGGGCTATATAATTATATCACATATGTGTACCTAACCCCTCACTTAGTTTAGAATACCTACTAGTATTATCCCCCACAAGGAAATTCTGTTTCATTAACAGTACCCAGTAATTGCAATAATATAAGATGGGCATTGTTAAAGGGAATCAATAAGTAAAAAATCCAAACGTATAATAAACACATCTTTGCTAGGAAGTACAAAAACTTAAAGTGACTCTAAACTCAGGAGTTAAGTCTTAAAAATTAATTCAAGTACCCTAATTATAGACAAAAATGTATCTTACTTGGGCATCACTAAGCTGTAGATCCTCAAATCATCTCTGAATCGACACTGTCCTTCCTTCTGGAGGGTGGCTACTTTTGTTTCCTATGGTCCCTGTGTGTTGTAAGGTAGTCACTGCTCCAAGCCTGCTCCCGTGATTTACTACAATCTCACGTTTAGTTTACTAATTTGTATTGAGATTGTAGTCCATCATGTGAGCGAGCATTGAGGTGGACAATACAGGGAGAAACTATATTGTCAACTAGCAGCTACTAACTGATAACCTGGTCGATAAAATCTGAGTGCGCTGAAGTATGTATTTTTCCTTGAAAAAAGTTAACAAGTATCAGATTTCCTGCAAAGTAAAAAATAAAAGTAAATTATCCTCTGTTTGGTGAATGCACTCTTGCGGTGATGACCAGTGTATGGGTAAGATGCAGAATGTCAGCAGTATATTTACCTGCAGTTTTTTTAAATTAGAAATTACACCTAAACATTACTGCTGAAGAAACCTACTGTCATCATTTGTAACTCTAGCTGAACAGCACACCTCAAAATAGCTGCCACTACTCTAACCCACCCTTCTCACTTTACCCACATCAACTGAAATCTCAGCCTGCTCCTATATGTTGGGGTGCCCGTTGACTCACCTCTACTAACTGGCTGCTGCAGACAGTTATAAAACTGTTTCCTGGGTTAGGGGGATGTTAGAAATTATGTAAATGCCAATGTCCCAACAAAAGCACATATGGCAAATAAATGGTGCAAATCTTGATGGCTCTGATTACTAAGATTTCATAAGCATTTGGTTCAAGTAAACTTTGAATTTACCTGCATGTGCAAGCCGCACCACCTCTAGATTCCTTGATATTTTTTGGAAAGAACTATGTTGTTCACCAAGCATTTCACATCTTGCCAATACCTTGTTTATACCTTTGGGTTGTGTCTGGCTTACCATTTGTTTGGACAGTCTAGCACCAATATCTGGCATTCCAATATACATTTGATAGTTGTATTCAAAGCCCCTGCCAAATTCTATGTGTTTAATGTCATCATAATACTTTGCTCCTTCAAGTGCAACAGCAACCAATCCACTTAGCCCTGAAAAGATGAAGATACATGTATGTAACTATTATTAAATAATTTCATTTTAAAATGAAGTTGGCATAATGAAAATTATAACTTAAACCAGACTTACTTCTGAGACCCCATTCATATCTGGGTATTTTAAAGCACGTTTGCTGAAGTGTATTTGTAGTCCTATAGACATATATGAAAGCACCCGAAAAATGCATGTTTATGGGCATTTTTCATGTGCTCTCATTTAAAAGTCTATGATGCCAGAAACACATGATTCTACTCCTGTGCTGCTAGTCTCATGTAAAAATGAGCGAATGACATGCAAAAACCCTAAATCACCTAGATATGCTCATGGTTAGGTGTGTATGGGGCCTAAACAATGACCAAATAGGTATATGATATTGAATTGAAATCTGTCATCTTTAAAATAAATGGTCGCTTAAATTCCTAGAAGCAACTGATCTAGAATTACTTCTTTTTGGTTGGTTTCAAGTTTTTTTTATTTTAATGTTCAAGCTTTATTGCTTGTGTATATATGGAGACAAGAACTCTTTCTTTTCTTGTGTGTACAACAGTGGCTAGATACTCTTCTACAAGTGTGGTATATTTGTGTTATTAAAGAAAGTCTGAGGTAACAGTTTGAGGCTTAAATGCTAGTATTATTATTATTATACAGGATTTATATAGCACCAACAGTTTGCATAGCGCTTTACAATATAAGAAAAACATTACAATCACAATACAATTCAAGACAAGATGGTAAGGAGGGCCCTGCCTGTGAGGGCTTGCAATCTAAAAAGTAGGTCTAAAGCTGACTCCTGCACATTTAAATTACAGTATATGTACAGGCAAATCATAAATAAAAATTGCAGAGCGGGGTTAAACTCCCATACAGGTTTTCATTGATGTCTGTGTCACCGATTCAACCTCTCTGTTAGTCCTGGTGATCATTGTCACTGAGGCAGAAGTCATGGGAAATCCAAACCTTCACCAGACCTTCAACCTTGTCATCAAAACAAGAGGTGAGGAGAATTTTCAAAAGAGACACCTCTTCTTATGGCAAATGTCTACAAGGGGATTACCTTTCCTTTTTAAATATTTTTTTACTCACTTACTGATGTGTCTTTGGAACAAAAGGTGGAGTGAAATATTCCCAACAGAACATAGGCAGCAAAAATAAACTGACAGAAGTTTTATTCCTTGAATACTTTATCCAAAACTCTAAAAAAGGAATGTGTCTATATATACACTGTAAGGTCTAAAAAGCTACCCAGCTGTGTTTTTTTATTGTACACGGTGGGAAGCTAAATTATAGCAAAATTTAAAGACAAAAACAAGAGAGATAGATTAAATGTATATCTAATTATTTCCTCATTGGCTTTTAAATAAAGAAATGTGTCATTCAAACTGTTCTGTTGAAAATCAAATCACATAACTTACTGTTAAGTAATAGCCAAATAATTCTATTTTGTCTAGTGTATAGTAAATTACCTTTCTTTCTTAAGTCCTCTACTGTCTCCTCAAGATCTTCCACATTATCATCTAAGCCATCAGTAAAGACAAGCAGCATCTACACAGTATAAAGAGAAAACTGAGATATTAACAATAAGCATCTGGGTATATGAATTGTGCAATTATGACTGAATAATACATACTTTGGCTTTTCCTGTATCTTTATTTTGAAACATCTTCCACATAGAATTTATTAGGGGTGATTTGAGATATGAAGGGCCTGTAACATTGGTTTTCCTCAAGTTCTGAGCAATATTTTGGCTGTAGATTTGAAAGAGAGGTGAAACTGGTGTCTCAGCATTTGGCACATGAAAAGCTACACTGATTTGAGGCTTTAAACCACGGGTACATGTGACCGCTTTCATATCCATCATGCTGTGTAGGATTTTATCAAGTTGGGCTTCCAAATGACTTTGACCATGGAATAATTTAGCACCATTTGGATAGACGGAAATGTCAAAAGCCACCACAACATCAACTGAACAATCTGCAGAGAAAAAACAGAAATGAAGTATATTAAAGGGCTAAGAAGTTCATTTTTTTTGCATTTACTGAAATGCAAGAACCCCAAACAAGAGGAGTTTATTTTAGCTGCTTTTCAAACATAAATTTTCATTATTCCTACAAAGAATTACTTGATTTGTAGTTACTCTATTTGAATATCATAACAAGCAGATATTAGTGAATTGATCTCTGCGAGTCTGGACGATTTGCTTTAAGCTAGGTTATTTACCAGTGAACTGGTAAAATAGTTCAAAACAGTAAAGCACACAGTAGGTCCACCAAAGGGTCTCCCAAACCCCTGAATGCCCTCTAGTCACCTGTCGGCATCCAATGGGAATCACCCTTTTAAAGTTGGAGGGGGTAATGAGGTAAGAATAAAAAATATATGTTTATCACACATATTCATATTCAAACAAGAGAAAAACTATCTATTGATAGACGGGGTACCCAACTACAGCTAGGATTTCTCTCAAAAGCCTATATATAGCTATTTAAATGTCAATAGAAATAACTAGCACACTTATGTACACATTTATCAAACTTTCTATACACAAGTAGTATCGAACGTACAATATAAGTGTCAATGTATATAAGTCTACCTCAATAGAGCAATTGTTACAATCACATAGCTTACGCAATAAGCAGTTACTACTGACTAATAAATTAATACAATCTAAATATTGAGTACAACACATGCTGTTATGAAGTATATTAAACAAGTGCATGTAAAAGCATTACAATACTGTTCTGTATTTTTTACTTGTATTATCATATTTTTACATGCTCTTGTATAATTTAATTCAGTACAGCATGTGTTGCACTCAGCAGCACCTTATGAGAAGGAACGTAGACATCACATCACTGGAGCAGGGCACTCTAGGAGGTAAGTGTGCCATAACATGCAAGTATGTTCATTATATTCACCCCAAAAGTGGTAAAGTTCTGGTTTAAAGCTGCTATGAAATTACATTTCTGCATGAGCTTTGTGCAAATATACCAACTAAAAATAACCAATTACAGTATGCTTAGGGGTTGTGAATCTGTCACCTCGCACTGAACAGGCAAAGTGTAACTACACTTTTGTTGAGAAAAAAACAATCTGCTCTGGGTGCTCAATGTACATTGGTCAGAATTTAACAAAATTCCTTGCAGATTCCTACCTTTTTCAGCCGAAAGCATGAAGGTCTAGATTGTTATAACCACCTGGTTTACTCTCTAATAAGGAAAGTTGCAGTGACTGCATCTCTTTAGAAGTAGTTAACCTCGGGGAGAACCAAAAAGCACTTTTTTTTTGGAGGGGATTCCTAAAATTTTGCTTGTATCTTAGCACAGACTTCTGGGAAAACTTGGGAGCCAAGCACACAAGCAGTAAACTGCATTTCTGGAGGCATTCCATAGACCAACTGTGTATAGCGATATTTAATTGAATTATAAACAGTTATAAACCATTACAGCAAAGTCAGATTAAAATGGAATGCACTTAACATCCTGTAGTTTAAAATAGGTTGATTTGCCTACTTGTTCATTGCAATAGAAACACAGAACCAGATTGAATTTTAAAACAAACCAAGCTCCTGTGGCCAATTTGGGGTAGTTTTAATAAATATGGCTAGTTTCCCTAAGTAAGACATACAGAGTGTTGGACTTGAAGAAAGTTATAGTTTTATATGAAAGAACGTTATACTTACTGTTAGCTGCTGGCTGTGTGCAGGCATCTCTCACAATTCTCTTTTTGACATCTTTCAGACCATTAAAATTGGAAACCAAGAATCTTTTTTCTCTTGAGCCAGCAATCTGAACAAGCTGAGTATCATCGACACTTCCTATTCCTATAGCATATATATCGACACCTTTTCCTCTCAGAGTTTGTGCTGGAATTGCTACCTTATCATGTGAAACTCCATCAGTTATCACCAGAAGAACTTGACGGATACCTGCATTCATACGACTTTTACCAGATAGGCTTAAAAGTGTAGAGTCTGTTTGAGTGAGGGCATTTCCCATATAAGTATTGCCCTCTAGTTTAGAAATTTTTTCAATATCATCCTTTAAAGCCCTTTTATCCCTATGAGTCGCAAGGTTAAACTCTACTTTGAACAAATGACTATACTGTGCAACTCCCACATGAACTTTGTTAGGTCCAACGTCAAAATCATCAACAATGGAGATCATGAATTTTTTAATTTCGTTGAAATCTGTTGTTGAAATGCTTGAAGATCCATCGATCAGGAATGTTAAATCTGCCTCTCCCACTAAACATACTGAAAAAGAAAATCAATAGTTTAAAAAGAATATACATCACTAGAGTGATGGAAAATGTATTTTATTGTTCATTTGTAATAATCACAACAGAAAATAAAATATGTTAAACTTTTTGGGCTTAATATTTAAGTACTATCTTTTTGTACTTAAAGTGGCCCTGTCACCAGACCAAACATTTCAACAACAATCTTACCGATTATAAGATTATATGTGCATTTATATATGTGCATTTAACATAGGTATCTTAGGTATGTATTTTACCTGCAAAAGCTTTGAATGTTAGTAGCTCCAGCAGACCCAGAGCTGTGATTTAAGTGACGCTTTGTAATGTTCCTCTAAAAAGTGGGGAAAATGATTGAGGGGAGAAATTGAGGAGATGGGCTAGCACAGACAGTAATTAGCAACTCCAAGAAGAGGAGAAGACTATGGCATGGAAGGAGCGAGCTGTGCCTGGAAATGGACTCTTGGACTCACTGAAATAGTACAATTTGCTAGCAAGCTCAGAGGCAACTCAATTTAAAAAAATACTTACGCTGCCTATACACTATAATATTTTCTTCATTAAATCTGTGGGGTTTGACCTGTATTGTGCAGTGAATAATGTTCAGACCTGCTGCACCCAAAAAAAGCAAAGTAGATGAAATGAGACCATACACTGGTCATCTGCAATACAACATTAACGTAAATGGAAATCAGTAGATTTGTAATTAAACACAATTCACACATGTGAGATGCATAAAGACAAAGCCGACCTACACAAGCCAGGGATCATTCCCACTGCTTTACTAATGGAAAATAGACTGATCATTTTGCAAGGTAATTTTCCCTCAGCTTAATAAATGAGGTGAAGTTTTGCTGACTTCCATCATCCAATAGTATACAAGCAAAAAACTGTTTTAAAAAAAAATTATTTTCTTTGTACGTGATTAGATATTCTTTTGCAAAGTGAATTTTCAACACCTTCACTAAGCTGAGGGAAAATTCCATTGTAAAGTGAATATGTTCTTGCAAAGTGAACAGCCTATTTGCCTTTAGTAAACCAACTCCAATGTGTTGCCTTATTGCATGTATGGGGTCTATTCACAAAGCTGCCGAAGGATCTGGCCGTAGCTTCGGCCGATCCTTCGGCTAGCTTCGGCACCAGGACCAACTTATAACAGGTTTGCATCACATTACTGCCACTAGATAATACTTAGGAGCATAGATTTCCTATGCTCCTCGGCTCCATCTAGTGGCAAGAATGAATGGTAAATATCGTTCACACAGCTATACGCTGTGTGAATGCTTTATAGATCAACCCCTCTATGTTGTGGTAACACGGTTAAAATTGGACATTTAACTTTTTTGTTATTGCAGTGCACCACAACACATTACAATACCGTGGTGATATGGATGTCAGTGGATGGAACCACAGAGTGCTGAGGGGGAGCAGACATTACACACACCTGGAAGTGAATCAGATGCTGAGGTTTCTTTCTTCAGCTTAGCTCTGTAAAAGAGCGATGATCTATAGCATGGGCAGTGGGACAGGTAAGAATAAGTCTCTTCAGGGTGTGGGGAGACCTTACAAGCTCCTAGGGCCACGAAACTCCTATTTTATGTAGCTTTCTATGCCAGTAGAGAAATAATCCTGAGATAGAAGCTGGCTTCCCCCCCCCCCACGGTGGGACAATGGTTATGCACAATTGATAGAATGCTCCCGCTCTACAGGCTAACATACATGAGCCGTAACTGCGTGCGCAAATTTGAGCGAATCTGGGGGGACTGGGTGGCGGCTAGAGGACTTACCTTGGAGGGTCCAGGCGGAGAGACCTTGCTCCCGCCTGTATCCCCTGAACGGTGTGAAGATGAAGGACCTGTGAGACTCTATTGATGGCAAGGGACGGGGCTGAGAACAGGATCCCTTCAGGAGCTGTTGGCTCCAGGTGTTAGAGTTGGAGGGAGATTCTTCTCTCTTGGTGATCCTTGAACGGAGCTTATCCGTGTGTCCCCCTCCTACCTGGCCTTTCCCCCCCTTCTCCCTCTTTGCCTCCTTGACCCCCCTCCCCCCCCTTCTTTCTTCCCTCTTCCTTCTCCCCCCCGGGGGTTTTCAGTGGCATGGCTGGACCCACTGGTGGGATTGGCCGTGTTGCAAGCACATGATACCAACGGTCCACGCCTTAATTAGTCTTGTAGTGTTTGTTTAGTCGTACATGTATTTTTCTTAATTTTGTCATTATTTGTATTGTCTTGTACTAAATGTTGTTATGCTGCAATGTGATGTTGTTGTTTATTTTTTCCTTTGTGCTGTATGTAGATTGTTTCTGTGTTTTAAAACCAATAAATACTTTAACTGTTAAAAAAACCCAATATGTCTCTTCTTTACAGGAATTCCTTTTAAAAGTTATTTTTTAAATCTAGAGACAGAGTCACTTTAAGATGCCAAATCCAGAGTTTGTGACTTTAAAAATCTAGTCAACAATCATAGAGCATATTCTGGTGACTCGCAGGTAAGATTTTTCTAATTATGTTCTATTATATTTAAAAATAATATATACTGTACAACTGCACCATGTTGTCCCGAAAACATGCATCATTGACATTTGGCAGCTTTGAAGGCCAAAGTTGAGCATCAGTGTTGTGAAATGTAAAATTACTGTAGAGTTATAGTTGATTTACTAAATGCACATAGACTGTTAATTTTTCAAGGGAATTTTCACTTTGTAAACAAATTTTCTTTTAGCTTAGTGACTGAGGTGAAGTTCTGCTGAGTTTCATTATCAAGTCATCAAGTCAAGCAAAAATGTTTTTTTTTTTTTTAGCTTACCTTGCACGTGATTGGGTATTCTTTGCAAAGTGAATTTCCACCACATTTACTAAGCTAAGGTAAAAGTCCCTTCAAAAGTGAAAATTCCCTTGCAAAGTTAACAGCCCATTTGCCTTTAGTAAATGTACCCCAATTACTTTGTAACATAACAATCTTGGCTTCAGTTCTTCCTAACAATACTTTCTGCTTAGACTTTTATACAGTTTGTGCTCTATGTTGGCTTGTATTCCTTATATGCTCTGATTTCTACCCAGTGCCCAAAAAGGTGCTAGAACATTAACTAACTTCATCTTAAAACTGGCACAAAGACTGTGATTTGGAAATTATATTGTAAATTTCAAATGGAAAGTGACTAATGGGATTTCAAAGCTCTCTGGAACATTTGCAGAAAAATTTGATTCCATGTAAGTGAATAAAACAGAAATAAAGACCTTATCCCTAATGCTACCAACGCATGCTTTAGAGCAGTGGTTCTCAACCTGTGTAACCTCAAGACCCACATTTGTCCTTGGTAATTAAGTTGTGACCAAAGCTGCACTGCAATGGAACGCATGGCATTGCGGTACCGTGCGTTCTGACGTGGGTGATAGAACTGTGGATGGCAGATGTGTTTGGGGTGCCATTCAAATGAATGGAAACTCAACATACCTCCCACACCAGAACGTGCCGTAGTTGTGATCGCGTGGTACAGTGCTTTAATTGCACGGACTGTGAGATTAACGCACTGTACTAGTGTGAACGGGCCCTCAAAAACACTGACAGAAGCACACAACCACAGACACATTCTCACACATACACAGTCCAAAAACTTTTCTTTTTTTTAAAAATCCTCCCGGTCTTCCTATCTTAGGAAAACTGGAGTGGATCCTCAGTCTGGGGTCCAGTGTAGACTGCTGTGCGGTGACGGAGCTTCAGCCATATGTGCATTGATTGTACTGCTCCCTTTCGTGCCCTGTAGAGGTGCCAGGAGCCAGAATGTGATGTCACTCCAGTCCAGGCACCTGTACAGGACACGTGGGCAAGCTGTAAGCAATGCATGTATGGATGGAGCTCCCTCACGACCATAGCACTAGCCTACCCCACCTCAAGCTGACATTTGCCACCTGTCAGCATATTTTGAATGGCTGCTCCGCACAAGAACTGGCAGTGCTGCGCCAGGGGGAGTCAAAGGAGCCTCTCACCTAGAAAAGTGGAAGGCATGTGGTGACCCACTGAACACGTGGTCGCGACGCACTTTTGGGTCAGGACCTACCAGTTTTAGAACCAAGGCATTAGAGGGTGTCATTCTGTTGGCATCCTATTGCCCATCTGGTGGTAATTTCCAATAGTAAAGAGGTTCTGGACCAATGCACTGTATACCAGCTTATTAATTCAGTATTGAGAAGAGGAATTAAGAAAGCTTTCTGAAAACATGAAACCAACAGAATGCACTAAAAGACAAATCTTTCTTTTGTTCTATATATTTATAGCTGCTACAGAGGTACCGTCTAAAGCATGGCAGTAGGCAACACCCGCAATTGTTGAAGTTAAGCAAATAATTCCCCTGTACTGAATATACTACATGACAAATTAGCAGTAACCTTAAGGGCTTGTTCACACCAAGCGCGGATCAGATCCAGAGCAGAGCAGGTGCAGACCGGATCAAAACTGCGTCCAATATATTCCAATGGTATTTTCCACTCCAGTTCACATTGCAGCGTGCAGTTGTAGAGCAGATCCAGAGCAGATGAAAAAAACTGCAGCAGGCCCTACTTTACCTGCTCTGGATCTCCTCTGGAACGCATCAAAAACGCATCAAAAACACATGCCAATGCCTGGAACACACTGAGTGCCTGTTCACACGACGTCCGTTTTGTGTGCTGACCTGATCCGTACGCTCCTGCACTCAAAATGACCATTTTAAACTTTAGAAAAATATATTTATTTTTTTTACCAAAAAGAGCCCATAACGCATCAAAAACGCATCAAAAACGAATCTAAAAGACTAGTGTGCGTGTGCAGAAACCTGACCGGATCTGCTCTGCATTTGGTATGAAAAAGGTCTAAACAATTTGGTACATACATTCAGACAAGTCCCGACACCCTGGACAATGTATTCTCTCCTAACTCATTTAGATCATGTCTTGCTCATCAGCTAGGCTTTGCTTAACAGTACAAAATTCCTGACATAATGATACCGCCAGGGAGGTTAACAATCTAAAAGGGTCAGTTGCAGATGAGATGGGTTGAGCCCAAAAAATCCTCCCAACTCCCTCCAGTTTGCCCTAGGTATTCATTTAATACTTGTATTATTAACCCCATATCTTTTCAGTCTTTCTCTTTCTTGTCTCTGTATATTTTATTATCATAGATCCCCTGTTTTGCTATTTTATTTATTGTATGTTTTTACCTACTCCACAACTGCTGAGCTCTGGTCTGTACTAGTAACTAGTCAGACCCCTAAAACGTCTTACCTCCCATTAGTGAAACACTTTATCCTACACTGGATGAATTGGTTTTAGAGCCCTTATTTTTGCAATGCCATTTTTTGGCACAACACTTTATAACCGCACACCTCAAAGTCACTTATGCCCGCCCCCACCTTGTTGTAAGAACCATTACATACTGTACAGTGTTTTTTTTTTTTTTACTGTAAAATGTACTCTGTTAATTGTTATACACTTGTGTCATTAATAGGGCCCCTATGTCTGACTATTGTTTTGCATTCTCAAAATTCCTCAGAAAAGTATTAAAGCAGAATATAGAAATGAACACCAACCTGTTTTATTGCAGACATCACCAGAAATGTTTGTAAGGAGGTGATTTAGTCCATCAAAATTTTCAACAAAGAACCATTTTCCATTTGTTCCTGCCATTGTCACAAGTTCGTCGGTTTTTGCCTTGTCAACTCCAATAGCGTATATGATGATGCCAGCATCTTGAAGGGCTTTAGATGTTTTGTTCAGCTCAGTGCGATCATGAGATTCACCATCTGTTATAATTATTAGAATTTGATCGACACCTAAATGCTTGCGACTGCCATGTTTCTCTGTGAAAAAACTCTTAGCATAGCCCAGGGCCTCGGCAGTATATGTGTCGAGTCCGACTCTGGGTGTATCTTCAATAGCTTTTAATATTTTCTGTTTGCTGCTGTGTTCATTTAGATAGAAAATCGTGTGTGAATCATCTGAGTACTTGAGAGCCCCGAACTGAACATTATTTGGACCAACTTCTGATTTATTGATTATAGCTATGATAAAGTTTTTCATTGTTTTAAACTGATCGTCACTTATGCTCCCAGAGGAATCCATCACAAACACAATGTCTGCTAACTGTACTCTGTCACAGTCTGTGAAAAAATTAAAAAAGTTAGGAGACCCAAACATTTATTGACAAATAAAACAACAGGTCCCATTCAAATCTTTGCATGCGCTCATGCACACATTTGGTGTATTGAGGTGCATCGTGAAAAACACATTTGAACTATTTGTGACATTTGTGTGCAATGGACCAGGTCCTCTTTTTACTGTATATGTGCATTGGGGTCCCATTTGGAAAAAATAGCAATGTACCTTAAACCCCATATACCCACATATTAGTGTGCTTTGGGGTAACACATGCTAAACACATGCTTTTCCGTGCATTGTAGCCAAAGTAAGAGGGCAGCCTAAACCTGGCCATACACTGTTAGAATTTCTTACAGTGTGTGACCCTACCGACTCAACAAAAGTTGATTACTGAATCTAATTTTGATGAAGGTGATCTAACAGCGACTTAAGCCAATCAGCTGCAGTCACTGTCCATGTGGTTCGACAGCGGTGGGCAGTTAGAATGCAATAGCTGCAGTGGGAAATTTGTCGATCCTTGCTATTTAGCATGGATAGAGGAATCTGTTACAAATCTTAAAGTGTATGGTCAGCTTACAAAAGGAAAAAAAAGCTCCACTCACACTACAAATACAGAGGCATTTATCACCACAAAGTCTTACAATAGGACATCAAAACATTAGGTTGTATCTTAAGATATAAGGACATATACTCCATTTTAATTCAGTATAAGCTATAAAAATGAGAATAAATGAAGAATATTATGAATTTAGGTGCATATCATAAAATGACTACGTTCTTAGCTTATCACAAACTACTTCAGGTTCCAGGGGTTCTCTAGCTGGGTGCGAGATGGAATTTCAGGGGATGCGACAAAGTATGGCATCTGTCCCTCAGCCGGCTGCCAATGTGCCTTGAGCAGTGGTAGTAGTGGCCAATCAAGCAGCCAAAGACTCGAAACCCAGAAGAAAATTTGGGCAAATATGGAAGTGCTGGTGAGTAAGACGTGCACTGCTAGAGGGGATCGGGTTGGCAGCACATTTTGGCTAAAAGCTCCAGGCCTCCCCCTTCTTTTTTTTTTTCTTCTTTAAAACGCTTTAGTAAAGCAGACCTTTACTTTAAAATGGTACTTTAACCCACTGCAACCCTTGCCCCTTAATGGCTATGATCTCCTGCGCTGTCTACAGTCCTGACTGTAAAATCTAGTACCTGGCTGCCTGTGCATCTACACTAACGTTTCATGGGACATTGCTCCTACAGTTTCAGTATGTACCATTGAATGTCACAATAAACAAATGTTAAACATTTTTACATCATACAGACAAATCCAGTTCATAAAGTAGTTCTACTTTATCCAGATAAAACTTTCTGTGACTTCTCATGTAGTTGAAACAGCCATTTTTTTTTTTACACTGACCTTCTACAGAAGTGCAGATTCCAAATACAAGGTCCTCTTCTACTGTCTGCAATGTGTCAAACGACTCCAAATAACGAACAAATTTCTCCGTTCCACTTATCTCAATCAGCTGAGATTTAACTGCATTGAAAACACCTACAGAGAAGATGACCACACTACTGTTCCTCAGAGACTCTGCCGGTGTTTTCACCCCATCATCTGCCTGTCCGTCTGTGATTAATATCAGGATTTTTTTCACTCTTGGCCTAGCTCCTTTATCCTCTTTGAAGTATTCAGCGACAAATTTTAAGGCTTTACCAGTGTATGTAGTTTTGGCCATGTAAATCATGTTATCTATAGCACTCCAAATACTATCTTTGGTTCCATTCTTGTTTAGCTGTAGCACCTCCATAGTGGTATCACTAAACTGAACTATTCCAAACTGTACTTTATCGGCTCCAACGTCTGTCCTGTTCACCAGAGTTTTCATAAATGTCTTCATTTTGTTGAAATCCTCTTTTCCTATACTTCCAGAGCTGTCCACGAGAAACATTACATCTGCTGCCACGTTATGACAAACTAAAAGACAGAGAAACATGTCACTGCAATAGATGATAGTTATTATATAACATTCTATTATATTGGTGAGGTCACTGATCATTGTGTGATTTATACTTATTTCTAGAATATTTCACTCAATAAAATGACCTGCCAAGGGAGGTAGTGGCATTGTATTTGCTGACATTAATAATAACTCGCAACATGGTCGAACTTCACATTATAAATCATTTGATCAGTTGTCCAAGAACAGAAATTAAAAAGGTCATAACTTTCTGGCCTTTATTCCATTAACCTCACTAACCTGTTCTGAGCATCCCCACAACAAACTCACAACAAGCAGTTTGATCTTTTTGTACAGCTGAGTGCATCAGTATCACAGAAACTCACTTTGCAGAATCTTCTGAAATGTTGCTATCAGTGTCTCTAAGGCTAGCCATATACCTATCAATTTTTTTTCCTTCAACCAGCGGGCTGAACAGAAAAAATTGACCCGATTCCTCCATCAACACAAACAGCATGTCGATCAAGGAATCCCACTGTTTACATTGTATTCTGACAGGTGCCGCCGAAACTTGTCAGCATACCTGATCAGAGCAGGCAGCTCATTGGCTGCCGGCTCTCGTCGATCGAACATTTTCCAGCCGGCTCCTTCGATCAGCTAACCAGTCAGGCAGACCCTTGCACGATATAGTTATTGGTAGATCTAAAGGAGATTGTAGTGAATTTGGTGAGCCTAATACATGAGGGTTCTATTACTGTTTGCTGTCATATGCTTGCAGCCAAAATGAGACTGATGATTAGATCTGCACAGATCACTATATGAAGATCTATGCTGGATCAGATCCAGGGCCCTTAATATGATTGCCAGTAAATGTTTGAATCAGTGTTCCCTTATCAGTGAACAAAAACTGTAATATTTTCATATTGTATGCAGACTGATCCCCAATGACTTAACACAAATGCAAATGGTACTAACACTATACAATCACATGAACAAAATCTATATTTCCTGCAGTTAAAGCTGAACTCAAGCCAGGTATGAATAACGTTTCGTTACGAATCGAAATTCGTACGAATTTCTTGAAATTCGTAAATCCGGAAGCATCCGAAATCCGAATTGCAGTTTCCGAATGTATCCGAAATACGAAATTCCGTTGACCAATCAGAGGTTTTCTCTTCTGCTGCTGAGGGTTGCATTACAATACAGGCAGGAAATACGAAATTCCGTTAACGGATTTTCGTTCCGTTACGAACATTTGTTATGATGAAGTTAAAAAGCAGAAATACCTTTGTTAATATTGGAGTTGATGGTAGTTTTTTTTTAATCCGAAATACGAAATTCGGATCCGAAATCCGTTAACGGAATTCCGTATTTCGGATTAAAAAAAAAAACTACCATCGACTCCAATATCAACAAAGGTATGTTTGCTTTTTAACTTCATCATATCGAATGTTCGTAAAGTTACGAAAATGTGACGAAACTAACGAAAATTCGTATTTTGTACGAATCCGGATTGAGTTTCGGACACGAACTACGAAATAACGGATATTCCGAAACGAAACAATTTTTTTGACGGCGCACAAGTCTAATACAGAAAGAAATGTATTCATTAGTAAATTATTAAATTTACAGGCACAAACACCTGATTTTAACTTGCTATCAACCTCTTGCAATTCTTTATACAGTAGCAATGTGTGTGGAAAGGACAGCACTGGGAGCCAATCAGGTGGACTGCATGCATGCACTGAGAAGAGGAGGGAGCAGAGCGAGCAGAGGGTTGACCTTTTTGGTCTGCAATTGCACTGCCAGTCACCATGCTGGGGATGGAGAGCTGACACCATTGTATTGCTCAAGGACTCATTCACACAAGCCCATCCGCTAAAATGCTAGTGCTAGAACTGTGACTGTTTACATTTATTCTTTTTAACTTTCAGTAGTGTACAATGTGAGTTTCCGAATGTATCCGAAATACGAAATTCCGTTGACCAATCAGAGGTTTTCTCTTCTGCTGCTGAGGGTTGCATTACAATACAGGCAGGAAATACGAAATTCCGTTAACGGATTTTCGTTCCGTTACGAACATTTGTTATGATGAAGTTAAAAAGCAGAAATACCTTTGTTAATATTGGAGTTGATGGTAGTTTTTTTTTAATCCGAAATACGAAATTCGGATCCGAAATCCGTTAACGGAATTCCGTATTTCGGATTAAAAAAAAAAACTACCATCGACTCCAATATCAACAAAGGTATGTTTGCTTTTTAACTTCATCATATCGAATGTTCGTAAAGTTACGAAAATGTGACGAAACTAACGAAAATTCGTATTTTGTACGAATCCGGATTGAGTTTCGGACACGAACTACGAAATAACGGATATTCCGAAACGAAACAATTTTTTTGACGGCGCACAAGTCTAATACAGAAAGAAATGTATTCATTAGTAAATTATTAAATTTACAGGCACAAACACCTGATTTTAACTTGCTATCAACCTCTTGCAATTCTTTATACAGTAGCAATGTGTGTGGAAAGGACAGCACTGGGAGCCAATCAGGTGGACTGCATGCATGCACTGAGAAGAGGAGGGAGCAGAGCGAGCAGAGGGTTGACCTTTTTGGTCTGCAATTGCACTGCCAGTCACCATGCTGGGGATGGAGAGCTGACACCATTGTATTGCTCAAGGACTCATTCACACAAGCCCATCCGCTAAAATGCTAGTGCTAGAACTGTGACTGTTTACATTTATTCTTTTTAACTTTCAGTAGTGTACAATGTGTTTACTCTACTCAGGTCCCCCACATAGCAACATGGTGGCATCCAGCGTTCTGTGAAAAAAATGCAGAATGCAGCATTTTTTCCCATCGCCGAACACTGCCCATTAAACCTGCATTGTGGTATGAACAGGGCACATAGAAAGCAATTGTTTTATTATGTGCCCTAGTGGTGACCTGCATTTTTCCTGTGCAGAAAAACACAGATCACCACTTATAGTGGAAACAGGCCTTAACTCTAAGAGGCAGAGTAGTGTCATCCATCTGGATGTGCTCTGTGATGGGGCTGTCTAAATCTCAAAACTGAATTGACAGGCATTTTAATCACTTGGCAGGTAAAACAGCCACTGTGTATGTATTCTGCACAATTAGATCTTAACTTGGAGTACAACTTCAATATCCTTCAATATTCAATATTCCAATATCCTCAGTGATAATCTGAAGATAATTTCAAACTTTACTGAAACTTCTGTCCAGCTGTTTACTTAAAGTTCTGTCCAATTTTGTAGGGTTACATGGTGTATATATCTCTATGGTGTATATAAATAAATGGAACAAATATCATCATTGACAACAATATCTCTATAAAAACATTGATACAGTTGTATGAGAAACTCACAGTACCTTCAGCAGAGCAAATTTGTTGGGCTAACTCATTTTTTAAGTCTTTCAAAAAGTCAAAATTCTGTACATAATGGACTCTCTTAGAATCTCCAGCGATCTCTTCCAGTTGAGTCTTGTTAGCTTCTTTAACACCAATAGCGTACACATTGACTTTGTCTCCTCTGATGATCTCAGCAGCTTCCTTCACACTGTCCTGTGATGCACCATCTGTCAAGACTATTAGATGGATGGGCACACCTTTGGTCCTGACATTCTTCGGGTCCACTATTATTTGGCGAGTGAAATTTAAAGCTGCTCCGGTGTCGGTTCCTCCTCCTAGCTGTCTGATGTTTTGCAGGGCTTGCTTTAAGCTGTCCTTATCATATTTTTGACCAAATTCAATCTCCACTTGTTGCGCTTGAGAATATTGTACCGCTGCAACACGTACCTTCTCAGGACCTATATCAAACATATCCACCAGTTTTTCCAAAAATGTTTTAATGTCTATAAAGTCTTTACGTTGAATACTTCCTGAGCCATCAATAAGTAGGTAGATGTCAGCTAAATCGGTGTTTAAACATCCTGCAGAGACATCAATATTACTATTAAAATTGTGAACAACAAACAAATGGTAATATTGCTAACATTCTATATTTATCTAATTGTAACATTTAAAAAAAATGTAAATGTAATTGAGTTTTCCCTATGACTTTGGGCCCATTCACACCTGACTGTTTCCAATGCTTTACATTTGCTTTTCCATTTATGTGTTTTGCATTAAAGCAACTCATTCAAATTAAAGGCTGCCAATGCACAAGAACGGTCAAATTCAGACATTCATGGTACTGCGTTATTGTGTGTTGTATGAGCTGCGATGCATGTGTGTCAGTTGTGCATGGATTACCATTGAGAATAGGGATGCACCGATACTGATACTAGTATCGGTATCGGTGCTGATACCGAGTATTTGGGTGAGTACTCGTACTCGCCCAAATGCTCCAATGCCTAGCACGAGTACTTCCTGTATCAGGAAGCCGGGCAGCGCATCATTACACGCTGCCCGGTTTCCTGATTGGCCCGGAAACGGCTCCATGCTCTCTCGTCACTTGTGATAAGAGAGCATGGAGCCCATTTCCCGGCCAATAAGGAAGCTGGGTAGCGTGTAATGACGCCCTGCCTGGCTTCCCGATTGGTCAGGAAGCTAGCAAATCCGGAAGCCGGGCGATGTGTAATGATTGGCCGGAAAGGCGGCGTCATGCTCCCTCGTTATCTCATGAATCATAATATTAAGAAACTGACCTTAAATCATTAGTTTGTATTGCTTTAGAAAAAATGTGACCCGTCCCTTTAAGAAAAAGTATCGGTAATTGGTATCGACGAGTACTTGATCAAAAGTATCGGTACTCGTACTCGGTCGTAAAAAAGTGGTATCGGTGCATCCCTAATTGAGAATGAATGGCACCACAAAGCACTAATGCACGGTGCCACACCTCACTGCATTGGAGAATTGTAAATTGGCCTTGTATCTTCAGTAATTAGAGTGAACTATCACATATAATATTTTTTTACAAATAATCTGATTGTATTGTGTTATACAACAATAAAAAAAAATCTGCATTCTATGGCCATATAATCAGTTACTTTCCAGATCTTCTATTAGGCAGCAGTAGGACCCTCATGTCATTGATGTTAGAGAGAACTCAGTTACACGTGAGATATATTTGTTACTTAGTTTAAGGCTAACCATAAACATATAAACAAATAGATTTAATTTTTTCAGCCAGCAGGCTAAATGATAGAAATCTAACAGATTACTCTATCTATCCTTAAAAGAGCAAACAGACAAAAATCCCCCACTGGGGTTTTGTATTCTGGCAGCCAGCGTCCACCACCATCAGAATACCCAGTGACTGGGCCAGCATGACAATTTTAAGCGTGGCTCCTTGAGCCAACTAGGCCACTCACAGATAGGATTTAATCTGATTCCTGTGTTCTACTAGTGTATGGCCAAACTAACCCTGTCGTATCACATCAGCAGTAAACTGTACGTAGAATCACAAACAATCTGAGAGACCCATGGTAGTATAAATATATATTTATATAACTATATATAAAAGAGCTCCTTCATTAATGAATAAAATAGCTCCCAATGTGGTAGATCCACCCAGGCAAATACATTTTTATTTTTTATAATGAAGTTTTTTTTTGCTGGCAAGAGATGTTCAGCATAAAAAACATGTACACCTGTGCACCTAAGAAACAGACACATTTCACATCTTTTACCAATGACCTGGAATTTACAATGAATCATTTTATTACATGTATGAGCACACAAGTTGTGCACTTGTTTCAATGTTCTTGTGGCTTTCATTAAAGGAGAACTTTGGGGTTAGGGCTTTTCCCCATAATTCTCCTAAGGGTAACGGGAGGACACAAACTAGTGTCCTCCCGTCACCCAAAGCTCAGTATACCGCGAGCAACAGCTAGCGATATACTGAGACGCCGCAGCTGAAACGGATCCCGACAATTATGTCTGGATCTGCCCAGCTGTGTGAGTGACAGCTGGCTCTGCCTACCTAGAGGCAGAGCCAGCTGTACCCGCCCCCTCCCCCGTCCGTTCCGCCAGTCAGCGCTGGAGGACCAGACAGGGGAGGGGGGAATCCAGTCACTCCCCTGTCACCGCTCTCTGCCGTGACAGGAACAAGAAGTGAGCGAGTGCTGGTATGTGTTCGCTTACTTCCCAATCTACTGAGCTGACCGTGACAGTTTCATTGTCACAGGTCGGCTAGAACTATGAGGATGAGTGGAAATCACTCACCTCATAGTTCTCCTTTAAGTAGGCAGGACATCTCGACCATTGGCAGCATAATTCATGAACATTTATCAAATATTAATATTAATTTGAGCCTCAAGGCTCGGTTCACACCTCAGAGTTTTGTCGCTCAAAGCTAAGAGTGACAAAACTCTCAAAGCAAGGAATCCAATTCGCTAGTCTTAAAGTGCAACAAAACGCTCAAGACAAGGAATCCCATTCGCTAGTCTTTAGTACGACAAATGCTCAAGACAAGGAATCCCATGCAATTTTATAACCCCTGTTCACACCCGAGCGTTTTGTTGCACAAAGTCTGAAGTCTATGGGACCAAAGGATGCTGTAATCTGCCAAAAAGTAGCTCACATACTTTTTCCAGTGAAAGTTATTTTTCTGCTTGCGAAAAAATGCCTAGGTGTGAAAGCAGTGGCGGAACTACCGCTGGTGCAGGCAGTGCCGGGGCACCGGGGCCTAAAGCTGTGGGGGGGCCCAGTGGGGTCCGGTACTGGGCACCCCCACCGTCTCAGTGCGTTCTGGTCCTGCAATATATGGCAGTGCACGGTCCCGGTGTTCGAAAATTTGCGATGCCGATCTGCCCTGGAAAAGCTGGGAAAGCGCCCTATTGGTGGTCACACATTCCACCGCCGAAAAGGGCGGCATTACGTTACCAGTCACACATTTTAACGTAGTCACAACCTTTGATAGAACACCGCCATCAGAGGGGTATAGCATGTAAGGATCATATTCTTTCATTGCATCTTAAAAAGTGTCATAATTGCAATCATGTTGGTTTGAAAGGCTTAGGAATAAATGCTGGAGAGGGGGAAATATGATTAGATCTGTCTCACAATTGGAAACAAATAAAAAAAAAATATTGAATACTTTGGTTCCTTTTGATTTGAATGTTGATTTGGATATAATTTTTTTATTCTCAATTTTTATTTACATTTTATTATTTTATTGCATGTAAAACCTATAGATTGTTTTATGTCTGGTCCCTTTCTGTTTGTATATTTAGCAGCTCCTTTTTGGAGACATTTCCTGTCATGAATTGCTTTAAAGACATGGGGTCTATTCACCAAGCTGCCGTGGGCAGCCGAGTGAATGACTGACCTGAAGTGAAGTGAGCCGAACACTGTTCGGCTATGCACTTCAGGCTGGTACGGCTGATTTCAGCCGTACATCGGCTGAAATCAGCCGTACATCGGCTTGCTTCACATGGCTTCAGGTCAGCCGAACATGCACAGCATGTTCGGCCGACCCGAAGTGCAGAAGGAGTTCGACTCAGCCGATCCAACATCTGGATCGGCTGAGCCGAACATCCGGCAGGCTACTCACTGCTGTTCGGCCTATTCTTATAGATGCTGAACAGCAGTGAGTGAATAGCTGAATGCCGCTGAGCAGCATTCGGCTCGGCTGTTCTGCTCGGTCCCTCAGAGGGACCGAGCAGAACAGAAAAATCGTTTAAAAAGTTAAAAAAAAGTAAATAGAAAACGATTGCAATGACAGCTAGCTCCGCCCAATAGTTTCCTATTGTCCGGCGGCTCTGCTGCCGTCAAAAAAAAACTCTCCCGGGCACTCTGGGAGCCTCCCGTTTTCCGGCTGCCCAGGAGAGAAACACTGCTGTTTCTTTTTTTTTCTTTATTCTGACATGGAGCGTCAGAATAACGCTCTAGAGGAAGAGTGGGTTCCCTGCCAGACAAGTGAGGAGATATTAACTCTTTGGGGTGTGGTGTGCATATTTGCCCTTCCTCTCTTAGGGGTCAACACATAAGGGTAAGCTGCTTTTTTTAGGGTGGCAGTGTGCAACATGGGTGTTGTTTGAAGCCTGGTGTCCAAAGTCTTTACATATTTGATTATTTCACAATTTGAGCACATATGGACTGATATGAACTTTTGATACATTTATTTCACACATATTTACTTATACTTATAACACATGCACAATTTATTGTTTCCAGAGCTGCTCTCCATAAGGTTTAGCTTTGCAATTATTTTGTTTATAGAGTAGCTGCCATAAGTCACTTTTGAATCGCTGTTTTTCATTGTTATAATCATAATCCTGAAGGTGCAGTACATATTTTGTGTTTAGATATTCAGCTTAACTTGAAAATCTTGCACGCAATCAAAGTTTAAGATCCTTCACTTAGGTAAAGTGGCCCTTATAAGGATAAGAACTGCTAAATATTATATGTTGCTTGTGGTGGTACGGAAGACAAAATATAACTTTATGGCTACAGCCCCTGACAAAATTACGGAGGATTAGTCTTTGCTACAAGAGGAATTGGAAACATTTTATTTTATATTAAAATTAAAAACACATTTTTTTAAAAAATTTGATAACTGTGTAACAGTGAGACTTCTGTATTGTAAATTTCTTAAATAGTATCCACGTTTGCTTTAGAAACTGTTTATATTGCAGGTCTCTAATACAAGCTGGATGATAGAAAGGAAGAATCTAACTAGTCATGGGCAGCTCAAGCATCCAGTGTAAGTACAGCTCTCTTGATTTTGCTTTCATGATATTCTTACCTTTTCTTATCTGGTCTCCTAACGCAGGCAAATCCATTTCAACAACATTTAAAATCTTCTTCACTAAAATATCAGCTTGTGATGAAAGGTCAGCAAATGTCTTCACCTTGATGTAATAGCGATCAATTGGGTAGGACGCAGCTTGGTACATTTGTGTCTCATTGGCTTGGGCAATTCCCACGGTGAAAATGTTGACATTTTCTCTGTGAAGTAACTTCGCTGCCTCTGAAATATTGTCTGCAGAGGATCTGTGAGTTACCAGGATGGCTATCTTTGGTGTTCCCTGACTCTTCCTACTGGACAGTTTTCCACCAAACACATCGGTTCTTGTAAAATTAATAGCTCCTCCAATATTTGAAATCTTTTCTTTTGAAGGTTTAATTTTTCCAAGTAGCTGTTCCACAATAGTTTTGTCGTCCCCTGTATCCAAAGTTGCTATTACTCTAGCACTGCTGTCAAACACTGTTATTCCCACATGAACACAATTTTCACTGATCTCTAGACCAGATATGACTTCATTTAAAAATTTGTTTAAATTGATGCTTTCTGATTGGCTGTGTTGGGATATATCCACCATTATTACTACATCTGTTGCCAAACCTCGATAACAAGCTATAAAAGAAGGAAGAAAAAAGAGAACGAGAATATATAAATAAATCATGGTCAACTTAGAAAGTTAAACTAAAAAAAATAAGACATATGACACAATCTAAAATAAAAGGTTTTCTTAAAGACAAAGGTTTTTCAAGTTATCAATCTTAAATCCTTCTTATCCTTACACAATTAGATTAGTTATACAAATTAAATTAGTTTTAAATTAGACTGAAAGCTAGTTAATTCAATGTTCTTTATAGTGGAACTGAATTTTTAACTATTCTACCTAAATACCCAGTTTCCAGAGCCTAATAGTTACTCAACTGACAATTTTTTGTCTACACTGCTTTTGATAGCTGAACAATCACCTTGGGAACATCTTACTTACCAGTAGAACTACTTCTCTATCCTTGTAAATGCTTGTATGGGACAAGCACTTGTGCAAAGATGCTGTAAAAGCCACTTTGCAAAGATGCTGCAAAGGACACATCTCTCTACATTCTTTTCAGCCTGGATCCCCCCCACCACCATGTGTGGTGTGTAGTTAGTATTACTTTTTTTTTTAAACAAATCTGCTTAAATTGTCATAATAAATAAATTGCAAATTGAGTGCCACAAGCAGCCACTTACAATGATTACTTAAATGTAAGATCCAATAATAAGCATGCAAGTGCAACCCTGCTGCTACATAGCCTGTACCCTCCAGAGCCACATCCCAACTACTTTACTGCTGTCCCAAATGCACTGTAATAAGACCGATAACAGATCTGAACTCAGAAACGCTGTCATGGGGGTGTGCCTAGATATCAAAAGACTGACCATTAGAAAACTAGTACTGTCTTCAGGGGCTACAAGCACAGAAATATTACACCAAAGCGTGAAAGCTACCACTCCCACAGTAATTGGTCTCAAAAGTCACATTACCTGCTGTTGCATTAGCAGCACCAATGGCTGTTGTTGGAACTGGCATTCCAGTAATTGTTTCTGTAAAACAAAATGTAAATATAACATGCATGCAAATAGAACAGTTGCAAATCTTAGGGTGTAGTGCATTTATATATTAAGCACAATGACAGAATAGCCAAGAAACACATTTTAAAATTTAAAGGGTAAGTTCACTTTCCCACATGAATTTGGAAAAATCCAATTAACCACTCAAATCTGGCCTCCTCTTCCACCCCCTTCCCCCCACTATACTTACCTTTCAGCAAATGGTCCTCCCCCTCCGTATCCTATGCTAATCCATAGCACAGCCCTGCGCTATGGATTTTGAATTTCGCTTATGAACACTCATTGGTCAGCATGGTCACCTGACCATGCTGAACAATGAGAAGTACTTCACCTAACCATGCTGACCAATGAGTGCTCGCAATTTGTGAGCAAAATAAAAAATTGATAGCACAGGGCTGCACTATGGATCAGTATGGGATACGGATAGCACACCCATATTGGTGGAGGGGAAGGACCGTTCACCGAAAGGTAAGTATAGCAAGGAGGAGGGGGCAGATTTGAGCAGGTAAATACATTTTCTCAAATTCACTGGGGAAAGTAAACTTACCCTTTAGCGTGTACATATATAGATAGTCACAAAAGAGTGAATCCATCGACATTGGATTATTAGAAATCATCATTTCCACCCCTTCAAAGTCCAGGGACTGCATAGTGATGACACAGACAGATATATGGAATATTGTGAGTGATTTTTGCTACAGTTTGAATGAATGATGTTTTACAGTGAAAAAGCCTAATTTCATCTCAATTTCATCTCAATTTCATCTCAATGGTAGTATCATCCGGCACAATACATGTTACTAGCTGAAAACAACCCAAAACAATATATCATCTATTTTTGTTGGGGGAGGAAGATTATTTGGCCCCGCATATTACTATTCTTTCCCCCAAGATAAGGTGACACTGTGAGCATCTTGCCCACTGCTTTCTCTACTTCTCCCTCTATTATCCTGTAGATGCAGATGATCTGAGCATACATGTGTATGCTATCAACCAGCATGCTTCAGGAAAAATTAATCTTTCCTGCTTTTTTAGCTGCTCTTGCTTCAGCTTGATTCATGGTTTTATTCTATATCTTCTTGAATATGCTGGTTATATTTCAATTACAGTACTCTGCAAACATTCTCATTCCATTTGGCATTTTTCTTGTTTTATTTAAATTCAAAATGGAATTAAAATGGATTTGTGGAGATTTGTTCCATTTAATGTACACAAATTGCCTACCACTTTGTAGGTGCAAAATAATGTTTACTATGATGCAAACAATTATTAACAAAGACAAAAAAACAGAAATCCTGAGAGTGCATAAGTATTTACCCTCCAAAAGTAAATACTGTGCAGAACCACCATTTGCTGCAATTACAGATGCAAATCTCTTGGGCACATCTAGCCACTGGTATTTTTACCCATTCTTCAAAGCAAAACTGCTCCAGATCCCTCAAGTTAGATGGGTTACATTGGTATACAGCAGTCTTCAAGTCATGCCACAGATTATCAATTGGATTGAGGTCTAGACTTTGACTAGCCCATTCCAAGACAATTAAATGTTTTCCTTTAAACTAGAGTTTAACACCATTAGCAGTGTGTTTAGGGTCTTTGTCCTGCTAAAAGGTGAACCTCCATCTCATTCTCAACTCTGTGCCATCTATTTTTCATTCAATCCTGTTCAGTTTTCCAGTCTCAGGTGATTAAATGCAACCCTACAGCATAATGCTGCCACCACCATGCCTCATGATTGTGAATGTCAGGGTGATGTGAAGTGTTCAGTTTTTGCCCCGCATGGAGTTTCCCATGATGGCCAAATAGCTCAGTTTTAGTCTCATCGGACAACAGAAGCCTCTGCCATGAGTTTGGGGAGTATGCCACATGCTGTTTGGCAAACTTTAAACGTGTATTCTAATTTTTGTCTTTTTTAACAATGTCTTTTTTTCTGACTACTCTGCCATAAAGCCCTACTCTGTGGAGTTTATTTTTGGGCTTTTTGTTGCATCTCTGATTAAAGGAGAACTATGAGATGAGTGATTTCCACTCACCTCATAGTTCTAGCCGACCTGTGACAATGAGACTGTCACAGGTCGGCTCAGTAGATCGGGAGGTGAGCGAACACATACCAGATTCGCTTACCTCTCGATCCTGTCACGGCTCTCTGCCATGGCGGGGAGGGCTGGATTCCCCTCTCCCCGCTCCAATCTGCCAGCGCTGACTGGCGGAACGGACGGGGAGGGGGCGGGTACAGCTGGCTCTGCCTCTAGATAGGCAGAGCCAGCTGTCACTCACGCAGCTGGGCGGATCCCGTCATCTACGCCGGGATCCGCTCCGGCTGCAGCGTCTCAGTATACCACGAGCTGTAGCTTGCGGTATACTGAGCTTAGGGTAACGGGAGGACGCTAGTTTGTGTCCTCCCGTTACCCTAAGGAGAACTATGGGGAAAAACACTGACCCCATAGTTCTCCTTTAATGCCCTTCTTGCGAGGTCTGTGAGTTTTGCCAGGCAGCCTTTTCTTGTAAGGTGTGTAGTGGTGTCATATTCTTTCTATTTTGCTATAATGGATTTAATGGTGCTCCATAGAATGTTCACAGTTTGGGATTTTTCTACTTTTCTACAACTTTGTCCCTGACCTGTTTGGAGAGGTCATCTTCATGTTGCTTGCTTAGAGGTCTTTCAGGGTCTGGGGCCTTTCAGAACAGGAGTATTTATATTGAGATCATGTTTCGGATCGGGTGGCACTTTGTTTGCACACAGTTGGACCTTTATCAACTATATATGAGACTTTAGAAGTTAATTGGTTAGCTCACATTTAGTTTAGGAGTTTCATAGCAAAGGGAGAAAACAACAAGGGGTGAATACTTTCGCAAGGCACAGTACATACATGTGGACACAAATCTTTTTGAATGTTAGGGGAGAAAAAAATCATAAAGAGGTACATTTTGCAAACATAACCTTTATTCTCATTATAAGATGATGATGATGATGATGATGAAGATGATGACTATTATTATTATTGATTTATATAGCACCAACAGTTTGCATTTATGTGTTTCCAGTTTCATTAGCGTTAACATTGATCAATGTTAAATTCAAGATATCTTTTTTTTTTTGTGCTGTTGAAGTGATATTAACGTCAAAAGGTTTTTAAGTTATTTCAAATGCTGATTAAACCAATGGATGCTGCTCTAAAACATTTAGGGGGTTATTCACAAAGCTAGCTGAAGGATAAGCCGTAGCTTCAGCTGATCCTTCCACTAGCTTCAGCCGCTGGAGCCCTTCGGTTCAGTAGAAACTGTACGGGCTATTCACTATAGTGAATAGCCCGTACAGTTTCCGAAGGAGGCCGAGTGGCTCAGACGAACAGAAGGCATGCTTCGGCACGACACCCAAAGCGGGACGAACGGCCGGCTGACCATTGGCCGTCTAAAAGCCTAACAACTGACAGCTGGGTGGAGCCAGATGTGATCTCAAGGCTGGCTCTGCCCTGTTGCAATGACAGATCAGTGTCCCCAGGTTACCTGGGGATGCTGAACTGTCATTAAACAATGACAACTGGGTGGAGCCGGCCGTGAGGTCACATCTGGCTCGGCCCAGTTGTTTTTCATTGGCCGGGACCTACTAGGTGACTCTAGCAGGTCCCAGCCAATAGGAAATAGTTGGGCAGAGCTAGCTGTCACTGCTTGCTCCACCCAATTATTTAAAAAAATTTAAAGAAAACTTTCTTTTTAATTTATCATTTATTTACATTTTCTTTTTGCCCCTTGGTAGCATTCGGCTATTCACTCGCTGCCGTTCGGCCTATTCTCATAGAGTAGCCTGCCAGGCTCAGCCAATCCAGAGTCGAACGTGTTCTTCACTTCGGCTCAGTCGAACATGCTGAGCAAGCCGATGTATGGCTAATTTCAGCCGATGTATGGCTGAAATCAGCTGTGCAAGCCTGAAGTGAATCGCCGAAAAGCATTCGGCTCACTTCCCTTCGAGTGGGTTATTCACTCGGCTGCCTTTGGCAGCTTTGTGAATAACCCTCTAAATGTTTTAAAGTTTTAGTTTGCTGCAGAATCAGTTGGTCTCCTAAGCTTTGGTCCTTATAGCCTGTTTTATGGTGGCTCCTTTCCCATGCAGGATCATATGAAGCCACCCTTTTGTGTACTAGTAAGCTGTGTGTGTCTCCATAAATCAAGCAAGACACTCCGTTCCCTCCGCTCCATGCTCCTTCTACCTCCCTTTTCTAAGCTAGTAGATGCACAGCTGCTAGAGACTGCACTGTCACTTGTGATCTTTTACTGGACAGAAAATTCACGGAAGCAGAGCAAAAAGAGTTGGAGTGAGCTGTTTGGAAATATAATGACTGTAAGTGCATGGGCAAAAATTTGAAGACATACTTTGCTGGCCAATGTATATGTATATATATAATCAGACTTCTGTATATATTAGAGTTCTATATAAATATCAATAAAATGTATATAAATGTCATTTATAGGACCACACTACACAAAGGGGCCTTGAAGAGGCAGTGTGGCCCTTACATATTTGGCAAGAGTTGTGCAATTAAAACTTGTTTTCAATCCTATTAGTTAGACAGTGTAATTTAGTTTTTTCTTTTGCAGGCTGGCTAGGAAATTATTGCTTTTCCACATACAAGGAAATCTAGGGTTGAAGGTATACACTGAGTGGCCGGATTATTATGACCACCTGACGTTTGGTTTGTAGGCAAATTAGCTATAATTTCGCACTAAAGTTGCTAGAGGGCCAGACCATTATAAATAGGGAAGCAGGTTGTTTATCACGACAGTAGAAGTGATTTTTTTCTGAAGATATGGGTAAACAACGCGATTTAACAACCTTTGAACGTGGGATGATTGCTGGTGCTGGCACCATGGAGCGAGTATCAGCAAAAAAGCAGAATTCGTTAAATGTTCAAGAGCAGCTGTTGTTAAAGTGTTTAAAGACTGGACTGTCAGCCGAAAATCTGGGTCTGAACGTGCCAATTGTGGCCTTCAGCGACTAGTCAATGTTAGGGCAGAACGGAGAGTGGCAAGACTGGTACAAGACAACAGAAGGGCAACAGTGCAGTGTCAGATTCCTCGCATCACCTTGCAACATCCCGTGGAGTCACGAGGCGGCCCAACTAAGTCATCTCGTGGCCCAACAAAGTACTGATGGGGTGGTCATAATAATCTGGCCACTCAATGTATATGTATGTATATATGTATGTGTGTATATATATCATACAGTTCAATGAGAGTGTCAAACAAGCCCTAAATGAGGGGTAGGTATTTAAACCCCCAAAATGCTTTGACTGTTCTTTACTGTTATTTATGAAATAATTCCTTTATTACATTCTTAGACTCTGATTTTGTCTTGTTTGGCGCTCTCATTGGACAGTATATATGTGCATATCAGCATAGAGACAGCATTGGAAGCCATGGAAGCTTATCAATTGACCAAGGAAGGAGGAGTTGATAGAGAATATAATGGGTCTGTGGAAAGAGCCTTGGGGGAATCTTATGTAAAAAGTAAGGTGAAAGAAAGAGAGAGTTTTAGGTGACACTGAAGGAGTGCTTAGATAGATAGGAGGAGAACCAGGGACTTGAAAGACAAGGATGTAGGGTTTTTTGAAGAGGAACAGGTGGTCAACTGTTTTAAATGCAGCATAAAGGTCTAATAGTGTGATTATCAGTAGTGGCCATTCGTTTTGGCATTTACTAAGTTATTTGAGAGTTTTAGTAGGGCAGTTTCTGTGGAGTGCTGCAGGCAAAAGCCAGACTGTAAGGGGTCAAAAAGGCTGTTTTCAGTAAGGCAGCAGCTCAGATGTTTTTAGAGTAGGCAGTCTAGAAATTTAAAGATAAACAAATGCAAGAAGATGGGTCTTAAGTTGTTCAGAATTGTGGTGTCCAGCAAGGGTTTTATAAGTATGGGGTAACCAGTGCATGTTTTAGAGGAGAAGGGAAGAGAGAAATAAGAGCAGAAAAAGATCCACCAATTTAAATGTCTCCCAAGACAGTTATTTTCAGGGCATGCCAAATGTATAGGTTGCCAGTGTGCTTTTTCACATGCAAACTGAACTTTTAAGCACTTAAATGGCTAGTGGTATAGCTGATCACATGTGCAGCACCATGGCAACTGCAATCCAAATAGAGACTAAGATGGCACCTTCCTTGGATGTAAAGGATAGAAGGGTAGATAGTAGTAATACCTTAAGTCTTGCAGGGGTTTAGTTATACACCACACTTGCTTAAGAGCAAGGCTATTATTAGTAGTAATATTGGTATTTATACCACTATGTCTACTGAGACTTCTGGTTTTCTGTTTGCCAGGGTTGTAGAAGCCAGGGCCTAATTCTATGTGCCATGAGAGAAGCAAGTGTGCAAAGTGGCAAAGGTTTCTACAGGTAACTCTTTGTTTGTTGGAAGGATAGGGGGTTGAAGACAGGGGTGGTTTAAAAATGATAAGGTTGCGATCAGAGAGAGAGAGAAAAACAGCGTTGGAGAGGTTGCAAAGTGTGTACAGGTGGGAGAATACAAGGTCAAGGGTCATCAGAGCGAGTGTTTGTCCATTGCGTAACATCAAAAGATGAGGTAAGTTTAAGAAGTTCAGACATAACTGGGGTGTTAGCTTTAACTGGGATTTCACCAGGGATTAGGAATGTACTGAAACTTCAACTGCTGAAAGATTTCGCCTGAAAATGGTACGCTGGGCAAAATGCCAAAAGTACCATAACACTCAGACATGCGGCCAAAAATTCAGTGCATCTCTAGGCTTCTCTTCTTCCCGCTGGGCTCCCACACACCTGATGGGCAAGGTCTTAAAAGGGCAGGAAACCAGTCAGTAGGTGTCTGTGAGGGGGTTATTTAGATTAGGACCCAAGTCCGTGAGAGCTGTGAACTGTTTGGCTGTTGAGACCCTGCTGGGCGCCTGTGACCATGATCCCTTTTGGAGCAGGCTGGGACAATAATCCTGGTATAGGATGTGTTATTTAGGCGGTTAGTTGAGTTATACTTAAAATAAGTCATGTTTATTGTTTGCTGAAGAGAAGCTGTTTATGTTTTATTGTTTTGGGGAAAATAAAGACTTTTGCTTTACCAACATGGCTGGCTATTGATCTTAACCGCCTTGAATATTACAATGGATAAAGGAGGAGATTTTCACACCAAGACAGGCCAGAGCCATAAACTTAACTTCAGCTCTCTGATCAAACAAGAAGTCAACAGGATGGTAAATCTATCTAAATAATACATATGTAAGTTTACCAGTTGTAGGTTACCTCAATGTACAGAATATAGAAGGATGACACTTTCAGACAGACAGGCAGAAAAATAGTGATTAAAATTAATGTACCCGTGAAGGAGCAAAAGAAAAAAGGAGACGATGAATGCATGATCTGGCATGCATTGCATTAAGCTGCCATACCACTTAGACAGCCCCTTTGGCAGAGAGTGACATATACAATATAACACAATAGTATAGTTGCACATAACTGTTCTGTGCAATGTATGAATAATAAGAGAATAAAATCTGACATTATCTCACCAGGTGTTTGTGTTCCTTCCACATAATATGTCTTCTCAACTACTTCTTGAATGGTGGTAACCATATCTTTTGCGTTTAAGTCTTTGAGATTGGCTATCTTAAAGGCAAGCTGAGGAGAAGTTGCCATTGCTTGCATTTCATCTAAAGAAGCTTCTTTTACTCCAACTGTAATAATTCGAATGCCGTCCTGTTTTAGAGTAGAAATTGATGGATTTATTTCATCATTAGAGGACCCAGATGTGATCACAAGTAGAACTTGTGGGTACTTTGATTTGTCTCTTCCATGTTTGTCTGCCAGAATTATTTCATGGACCTTTTGGAGGGCGTTACCAGTCATCAATGATCTACCTTGAAACAAAAACCTATTTTTTATATAATTCATCATTGGGCTTTTTGTCTTGAATTCGGATAGAGAGAAACCAACATGAATGTCCTCATTATACTGTATTAGACCAATGCGATAATGATCAACACCTATTTGCATTTCAGCAATTATTCTTGATATATAGGATTTTAGCTGATTGAACGTCTTTAATCCCATACTGTCTGAACTATCCACCAGGATTATAAGATCTCCATACTTAGGGATTTCTGCAATCATAAATAAAGAAAAGTGCAGTGTCAGAATTCAAGTACATTTTTCTATTGTAATTCAGTGATTACCAGTGTTTCACCTTACCTGTGTCCTGGGTAGATAATAGCTGCATCCAGCTAAGCAACACAAACAGACTAGAGACAAATTTCATTTTCAAAGCCCAACGATGTTGTTAATATTGAAAGCTGGAGTTAGAAAGAAAGCCAAAGATTAACACGACTCAGAAGAATCAATTCAACCAATATTATTGTAAATTTCACATTCACTGAATGTATTATAGAAGTATTAAAGAAACTATCTGTAAACAGATAAAAAAATTCAACATTGATATGCAATCTGAGCAGCGGTTTATCTATATTGCTTCTTGGGTTTAATTGGGAAAATACTGTAGTAACTGTGCTCTTAGTTTGTGATCACACAGTCAAATATCCTTAATAGTTTAAAATAAAACCATTTAATTAGGCTGTGTAAGAGGAATGAAACGGTGTGAGGAAAAGCCATGCTTTAATAATACATCGAAGCTGACTGATGTTTATTACTATATTGATTTTTAGTACTAGATTACTATACTATTACTGTATTTAGCCATTAAAATTCAAGCACGCTTGTGAGAGTTTATAATCTAAAAGAGAGGGGCAATTGAAACAAAAGGTTATAACTGTGTGGGGGTGAACTGATGGAGAAAGGAAAAGTTCAGTTTTTAGTTATGTAGCCAGCATTGTGACTATTAGCCACTGCAGAATGCTTCCCCTTGTGGCATGGCATCACTCTCCTTCTGCACGGTGGACAGTTAGGGCCCATTCACACCAGGGCCATGTGTTAATCGCACCAAAGGCTGTAATCTCAAATAGGAAAAAGTAGAACAAACCTATAGCTGTCCTGAAGTAATATTAAAAAGATTACATGACTTTTCTAGACTGTTCAACAGAGACAGGCAGAAGTTTCAGGAATTAAGTGACCTTCTTCTTGAGTTTGAGATCACTAGGGAAGACACATATCTACCAGATCTTAGCTACCTAGACAATGTAGATGGCATGAACCCAGTAGTATTAAAAATGCCTTACAATATCCTAGAAAAATAGGCAGTAGTGGGTTCATGGTATAAGGAGGAACATCAAGTCCCTTTTCCACCTTTCTCCTTCTTCTTGAAATTCATTAAAGACTTAGCCAGAGCTAAGAACAATCCACATATCTTGATTATCAGCTTGAGCAGTCCTAGCTATCCCAATTACAAAAAGAGAAAACCTCACCACTAAATACAGAGACTTTAGAATTGTTGTCTCCATTAGAAAAGCAGGAGTTACACCCAATACCAGCTGCAAAAATGAAGAAAGGTGAAACAACCCAAACTCTAACCACTTCATTCATGGCAAACCACATCCTCTCAGGAAATGCTCTGCATTCAAGGCAAAATCCTTGAGAAAAATGCAGATTGTTAGTGATAGGCACTAATAGGCCTTACACAGAGGCCCCTTTAAACAGGACTTTACATCTACTGAAGATCTTACATTCGTGTCATATCATTTAAAGAAGATGCATGAAGAAATATGTTTGGTCAAGTTTCCTGGAGGTCACCCAAAGAAAGCTGACATGATCTATGTTGTTTTAGAAGATCAAAGCAGTAATTCATTTGCTACCTCAGAATTCTTCTACATGTATAGTGTAAACAGAGGACCTTTGTCCTACACACTGCACATATGTGGCACAGTAGAATTTGCAAAGAAAAAGAGGGGGGTTGACTCGTTAAAAGGTAACAAGTCAGTAGCGGTCAACTGAGGGATCCGGACAAGTAGCTAATATGCAAAAAATTAATTTATTAGAAAAATTCATAGAAACAACATACAATAAAGATAACACCTTCAAACCAACTTTCACCATCCTCCACAGGGGTACATACCTTTGGGTCTCTTTTTGTCCAGTAAGGATTGTTTTAACAGAGTAGGTGTAAATTCAGAATTTACTAAACTATCTTTCAGATTTTTTGAGCGACGTGCCGTGAGTAAGGGTCTCGGTCCCACTATATTTGACAGTAATGGACATAAATCCAATACATGCCAATGCTTCGTGAGTACTTCTCTGAGTTTTTCCCAGTTAGACCCATATTTTGTTATTATGCGTGTATAGTTATTTTTTCCATTTTTTGAGGGCTCTATTGTGTGTTCATTAGTTTTCAATAAATCTTTTCTTGTTTTTTGGTTAGCTTTCATTTTGCTCCTTTTTATAATTTTGTGTGGGTATCCCCTTTCCCTGAAGCGTTTGTATAGATCTTTGGACTCCCTCAGGTATTCAGTGTGTTCACTGCAATTGCGTTTTATCCTTAGAAACTGACCTGTTGGAATCCCTTGCTTCTTCTACATGTATAGTGTAAACAGAGGACCTTTGTCCTACAAACTGCACATATGTGGCACAGTAGAATTTGCCCTGATCAAGATATTCATAATTTCACACATAAAATAAATTGAAGGAATTCATCTCCCTATGCTTACTGCAATCAAATATCTAATGATAGAGAGGAGATCCCTACACAAGAAGTTCACACCATGAATTCTTCATTGATTTGACTGGTTACTTCACACCACTTGACAACAATGCCAAAATCATGCTTCTGCTGGGAAGGGACATCTATGGAGTGCACAAAATACATGATCAGTTCAGTGGATGTAATGCCAGTGCCTATACACTAAAGGACCAAGCTAGGTTGGGCCATTATAGACACTTCTTGCTCAAGTCTGAAGAAGATTTCAAACAGTGTGTGCACTTGTAAAACTATTATTGAGAGAAATCAAGACACCCCTTTCACCACTCAAAACCCATGCTATGAAAACTCAAAGGCAATACTAACTCTTATGAGACTTCTTTTGAGCAATCAAGTTTACATCAGTGAACCATTTTATAGTAGTATCAGTGAGACAACATCTCAAGCTAATAATAACAAGAGGAAGACTGAACGTTTGGCAGTTGACCAGGAGTTTACCAATACTGAGATCCTGCACAAAAATACTGATGTTAATTAGTTCAATCACTGTGTAACTAGTGACTTTATATCATTATATAATTCAGTATATGCTAAATAGTTCCTCACAGAAGCCCAGCTGCAATTTCTGGCTAGTCTTCTCATTGAAGAAACTACACTAGACAACAGCAAAACAGTAACATATTTCTGCTTAAAGAATCCCCGTAAGAGCTCCAAAGACTTTAATTTAAAATTCCTACCAAACAGTTTTGACCTAACCTGCAAGTTGGCTACATATTCATCTATCAAGGCCCAACTGTTAGGGAACCAAGAAACCAGACAGAAACTTAAAGTGCAGGTTTAAAAAAATAAAAGGAGTTTATCGCAAAAAATAAACATAAATGGCAAAAAAAACAATGGAGAAACGGAAACAATAGCCAGAGTCAGGAACCAGGAAGTCAGTCAGCCAAGTCAGGGTTATACACGGAGGACGGGAACAACTGCAGGGCACTTGATAGATTAGAACACATGCAAGGGCAGAGCCTGAATGGACAAACTGATGGTTAAATAGTGAGCTGGTGTTTGCATCAACAAGAATTGACAAGAATTTGTCAGGAGTTTTAGCAATCGTTGCAGAATGATGATGCTCATGGGTTTAGTCATAAAAGAGGAAGAACAGTATCAGAAACACAAGCAAGGAACAAGGAAGGCAAAGAAACCCTAACACCAAGCTATTACAGTTTACATCTCATGCACCACAACATGTACAATACTAACAGTGAAACGCCCAAAATACTAATTGGATCAATTAGTGCAATAAAGTCCTTTTTTTTGCAAGCTGGAAGCAGAGCTTCTGAAGAATGGACTTGTCAATAAATTATTTCAGGTAGCCAGAGAAGATGCTGATTGATTGCCATGGGCAACTGCTCCAGATTCCGTCTGCTCCAGTTTTGATAAATTCCCCCCATTGTCTTCTTACACTTCAAAAAACTTGAAAAATGTGCTTTGTATTGCACTTATCTCAAGTAAAACTACATTGGATTACTTCTGTGTCTTATTTAAGATCTAAGCTGCCGGTGGATCCTGCCAAATCACTGCTGGCTATACTGTCCGCACAGACCATGATCTAAGAGGTATCTCATTGCATATATCGGCATATGAAACAGAACACTAATCATAATGTCAATACATCATGTATTACATCCTTATGTAGAAGCGTAACTACAAATCATAGGGAATCCTACAATTTTTTTTACCCTCTTCACTTCTGACTGACCACTGCTTGCATTGACTCCCTTTGCAGTATTCAGAACTTTGCACTAAAGGCCAGCAGGTTACCATACACCCCTTACAATAGCTGTTTTACATTGGCTGTTAGTGACATCCTTTTATACTAATTAATACTGGTAGTTTTTACATTGGGGTCAGTGGTATTTCATGCTTCTTTGATAAAAGCCCTTTTAATTACATTGGGAGTCAGTGTGATAATTACTGTGATGGGCTCAGAGAACAATGAGGATAATAATAGTGTTGCTTTTTTAAACAAATGCTGATTACATTTTTAATATATGTTTTACATTCAGATGATAAGGTAAATTTGTATGTTAGACCAGTACTTTACAAAAAAAATAAATTGTATAAATTCCCTAGGAAACTGTGACATCTCTATGGCAAAAGAAAAAGAAATAACCTCATGTTATAATGATCTCACTGGTTCCTAGTAAACTGCCAGTATAAATATTGGTTAAGCTCACCAAATGACAGCAGTTTCTAATTCTCTGTCTTGTTTCTTCAGGATCCACTGTATCAGAAAGCCACTGAGGGATCGGGACCCAAAAGGTAATGTTAGGAACTTGTTCATGCTACCACTAGTAGGTTCCAGCAAGATTTTGATCTTGTCTCATTACAAGATGTGCATCAGATACAGCTTTAGTGCTTTCAAGATAGACTTGTAATGAGAATACAGATTTAAAAAAAAAATACTTACATGAATGCAGGTAGCCTGATAAGCACCAGTAAGTTTGTGTTCTGGTCTACTGAAACATTGCACTTACACTTTATTAGGTCTCTGTTTCCTATAACACAAATAAATAGTACGAATGTAAGTAGAAATATCAGATATCCATTTTTCCATTTAAAAACTGTAACACTATGGGACTGATTTGTAAGTCTACCACCCAGCGTACAGCTGGGTGAAT